TAAAAGCCCTATCAAATTCTAAATAAAAATAATAATTTAAAAGTAAAAAAATAATTAATTAATTAAACAAAATAATTAAAAATTAAGGAAAGCTTCACCATTATTTTGTTTTTCACTGCTTAATCAAAGAGTTGTAAAGGTTAAAGGTGCTTGTTTATATATATACAAGACTCCAAAAGGGCAATGTCTTCTCTTCCTTTGAGAAACATCATCTTTTGAAATCCTATCGAAGATATGCAGGATAATAAGCAGGTACATTTAAATCTACAATTATGACAGTATAAATCTACGCAGGTTGCGGTGGATTTTGACTACGTTATATTTACAAAAGACCCTGAGTTGTATTTACATTCCAAATAAATTAATAAGAGATTTCATTTATGCATTTACTTCATACATCATACATGGCACTAGCTAAATTTATTTGCATATTTTGTATAGCCTTGATTTAAATCTCTGAATTAAAATCTTAGACTCCTTAAGATAGACTCACCCTATCTTGCATGCATAAGACATTGATTGATTTTTGGAATGTTAGCTGAATGTACACTCCAGACATACATAAGTCCAGACTGTACACCCCTCAGTGTGTCTTCTCTAATTCCAAATTTTAAATTTATAAATTATCCTAAAACAGTAAATCAATCTTTTGTCTTCTAAACTTAAATTTTTAATCAAATCTTTAAATATTTAAAACATATATTTCTCACTAAAGATGAAGATAAGAGAATAAAATAGCATCCATAATCGAGAGTGTTTCTAAGTTAAAGCCTAGGATGTAATTAACCACAAGGGCTTAGACCTGTGAAAAACTGACGCCCACATCAAATAAACCCCATTCAATCTGATGCATCGAATGGGGGAAATATCGTGACTATCGAACTATAAATATCATTATCCATCATGATGTGTAGGTTAAAGCCACTATTTTACAAGAATAATCGTATATATAATTCAATCTACTCTTCCATTGGCCTGCTTATATAGAATGTAAAGGTTTGTGACCGTTTTGTCCTACGAGATAGTGCGATCATGCATTTTGCATCCTAACCCACTTACAGTTCCCTTTTGAAGACCCACAAAACACTTCCCATAGATTAAACATTAAATAGCCATAACTAAAGGATAAAGAATGTCTTAATGGTCATTAAAAAAGGGAAAAGAACCCACTTGTTGAATAGATGTTAGCAATAGAAATAGCATTGAAGATATTTCTTAACAAATAACTGTAGCATTTATAAAAGGTAGTAGGTTGATCATACAGCAGAGCTTTGCCAAATTCAAATCGTGGCTACGAAGGACTTATAAAAGCCCTATAAACAGTTTTTAAATTCCCAATAAGAGAAGGAAACTGCATATAATAGTTCCTTTAAGCAAATGTTAAACACTGATCTTGGATCATTTTTCTTTCATACCTCATTATCATGACCAGATAGTAGAACGACCTTTTCAGTTGAAAGTCTTCCATCAGTCCCAGAGTTCAACCATACATGCCATATAGCAATTCCCTTGCAAGATGCAACAGCTATAACTTCAAAAGGCCTATTACGAATTCAAGGTTTCATACACACAAATTAAAAAATATTAGCACCATAAGAACTAAATGAAACAGAGAAAGTAAAAAAATAAAATCGTAAGACGTCCAGAATAGGAACCTTTTAGCTAATTTTTTTTTAGCTACATGACCAGAAAAAATGTAGAGCAAAAGAAATTCACATTGTTAAATACACATGACACATGAAAATGCAATCTAGACCATTTTCTCTTCAATGTAGAATCAGTTTAATATACCAAAGCCTAACGACATTCTATATAAGCACTTCTCTAACATCACCTGTTAAGGAGTAATGCTATAGAGGCAAGGGTTACATCAAGACTGAAAGAGAGCATCCTTGGCCAATTGGCTAACCAGTCAACATCTAAGCTACCTTCTCAAAAATGTGTTGAATGCAAATCTGGCAGGGGGGAGGAAAAGAGCCTTGATTTAAATAACTTGGCATTCAGTTTTTTTCGTTCATATGTCAAGAAAATAATAAAGCACTCAAATATGCTTGACAAAAAGGTTTTCTTAAATTTTAAGATGGGCTAGTTCTAGAAAATACAAAAACATCCTAAGAGTGTTCACGTGTTTTCGCAACATCTGATAATAATTGAACCAGTTGGATTGAAACACAAAGTGACTGATGGAAAAGGAAATTTTTTTTGTTGGTGGTTATCTGGCAGGTGTGTGTGGGGGGGTGGAGGTGAAGGGGTAGGATTTGGTGAGAGTAAAGAAGTGATAAGGATAGTAAGGAGTCAGTTAAAATGAGAAAAATGTGAAAGAGGGGATGGTTTAAGTATATGAGGGAGGAATCAAGATAGATTGGAAAAATTGCATGGAATAGACAGATCAAGGGTGAGAAAGATCAGTTATACAGAGCTAAATAAGAGAAAGAAGGCTGCAGGCATGGATAGAGAGAGAAAAGGAGAGAGGAGAGAAGGCTGGTGATCCATGAAGGAGAAAGGTTGGGAATGAAAAAGATATCAGGAGCACTACCTTGCAAAGTTCTACTTTATTTGGTCCCACACCGCCAACTAGTAAAAAGTAGCCTTAGAGCTACTCATAAAAGGAGGGTGAATTATCATTGAATTTTAGACATTTCAGATGCCATGGAGATGGTAGGGTGTTGCAAGTAAATTGGGGTTCTTTTTGTTCAACTTTTCATGTAGAAAGAGAGTTCACATTTTCCTTTCTTGCAAAGTTAAAACTGAAAGGTAGCAACCAAGCATTTCTATTTTTAAAACTCAAACCCTTCTTTCTTAGTATGGATGGGAAGCTCCTCCATGTTATTATGACATTATGTTGTTCATTATGCAGGGATTTTACCTCGAGACCCATTCATGCCTTGGCATAGTGGAAGATTCATACATTTTCTACCATAGCGAGTAGAGGTTTCAAATAAGATCCTATGCCTTTTAGTGAAAACGAGCCTTGAGCTACTCATAAAGATATCAGGAGCACTGACTTACAAAGTTCTACTTTATCTAGTCCTACACCGGCATGCGCTTTAAATAAATATGATAAATTTTTCCTATCATAAAGCAAATCAATATTACCATAAGCTAAATATTTAGAGTCTATCATATTGATGTAATCAAAAGTTCTCTTTCATCAATGAGAGGGTAATTAACCATAGCAGCTTATGCTTGTGGGAAAGCTCAAATTATATCATAAAGTCCTGGCAAAATGATAGTGAAATCCCTAGAAAGAATATCATCTAATTTTTAATCTATCTTCTTAGAATTTGATTCATAATCACTCTTTTAAAAGAGTCAAGCATAAATTTTTGAAGCCAATAAAAATTAAATACCTTAGAATCAAACGATCAAATTCTAACAGCATCATTTCCTATGAACAAGTTGTTATTTAATCACAATAATTGAACGAGATTATAGTAATAAGTTGAACAATGTAAAAAAGCCATCGCATTGAACCATCATAAATCTTGAACATTTGCCTTAATTAGAAGTTCAATCTCAAAATCAAGAGTAATTAATCAATCTAGCTTACACCAATAAGAAGCATCAACCAGGAATATTAAATTATTAAAAAAAAGGGTGAAACCTCTAAGTAGTACTTTATCTATATACTTGTTCTGCCTCTTGAAAATAAAACCTTCACCAATCCTACCACCGAGGGGTTTCTTTTAGGCTTAAAGATCTATGGAGACTCCACTGGAGTAGGTGTCCACATTTATACAGGACGGAATGAAGAAAAGGATTCATGTAGCCGACAACACATAGTCGGATAAAGGCTTGATATTGTTGTTGTTGTGTGTAATCAAACATATTTTTATTTTCCATGAAAATAAAAACAAATCAGAAGAAAAAATAAATAAATTAGAAACAAAACAAAAACAAAAGATATCATGATCAACAATTGATAAAAATCACAGAGAAGTTAACCGTTTACTCCACTTTCATAGGTATACCATGCTAAATTGAATTGGTTTTACCTGCCTATATTGGGCGCCCAAGCTAAAGCATGCACTCTATCATCTGTGTCGGCAGGAAAAGCTAATTCTGCGGCTGGTACCCATCTTTGATGGGCCTCTTCAAATTCCCAAATCTACAAAAATTCAACTCCATAAGGTCACCCTTTTCAATGACAAAACAAAATCCTCAAAGCATAAAGACCCTTGCAAAATCCAAAAGAATTCTATGTTATAATCTTAGTGAACTAGCACAAAAGCAGTTTTTGTAAGGAAACCAGACCAATTCATCTTGTTTATTAATAAGGCAACTAAAAAACTCCACCCTTCACAAGAACCAGTCAGTATCCACTTAAAAAGGAAGACAGCCAATTAAAATATCAGCTTCTACCCAATCTACAGACATATTTTTATCCTCAAAGCTAGCATATGGAGGAATCCTTAGAAAGCAACAGAGATCTCAAAAACATCATCAATGGCTCAAATTTGATCGTAACAAAAGCAACTCATATTGCTAGGTAAAAGCCATCCAAATACATCAAGTGCCTCCTCTTCAAAAATTGCACAAGCATAATAGGACAAGCATAAATTCTCAACACATTAAGTTAAGATTTCCAGCACGGGCATCTAAGCAAGTAGCTAAGACACAAGTATATTGAACCACATGAACTCTTATCAGCACGCAAATTTATAATATCACAATGAAGCAAAGAAAAAGATCTGATAGAACTGAATGTGTGCATATACCATTGATAGGAAAACCAACATAAGCAAGACAGGAAATAGAAGACCAATATTGAACAAACTAGGGACAGCCGGGGAAGAAGTCTTGCACACACTACCAACCCAAGTTTTCCGGGTAAGGGAATCCCAAGAAAAAGTAAACCAATCCTAGCACCCACAGAAGATGCAATTCCAAGCCCACAAGTAATAAATCCGTAACTTCCAATAGCAAACCACCACCACAGCCAGGACTTATCAGACATTGTCAGTAAACAACACAAGCCATAGCCATCCACATTGCAGGAAACAACCCCGCCACTATATGCAAACCACACAAACTCATCCAAGAAACAAACGCAACAAGATTCCACACAATTTGATCGATATTCCCACTACCCAAAAATACTCCACCAACGCACCAATTAGCCCCTCCCTTTAGTGAAGTTCCTTACATTCAAATTGAAATATTTTATAAGAGGCAAGAACAAAAAAGTCACCATAGCATAGTGTTTCCACTTAGCAACTAAAGAGATCTTCAAATTATTAGCAAAAATATTAACTCTCTTGAAGTAATTCAAGTTGATCAGGGGCTGTTTGATTTCTAGTATTTAGCGTGTACTGTAAAGTAAACACGTGAGTTTCTTATTTTACCGCATTTGGTTCGATGTAAAGTAAATGTACAGTGAAAAAGTAAAGTATTTCGAACTCATTCTGCAGTGTATTTGCGGTATATTTGAAACCCGCTAAAATCGAGCAAGTTCCAAATACATCGCTTCTCTGTCGTGTGAAAAGGAATGGAATCCCCAACCGTTTGGCTCCCACAGCGTTACTCCTTCGCCCTCACGAAAACCACTCGTCATCCCTCCCGCAAAATTGAGCTCTTGTTTGTGTTTTCCACATCCCGCATCATTCCTGCTCACGATAACTTCTTCTTGACGGGAAATGTAGCTCGCAACCTAAGTTTATTTCAACTTCGCATAGTTTGCAGTTGACTCCTCCCTCTTGACTCGGTGGCTATCTATGGCCTTAGTTATCGTCTACTTATTTATTTAGTTTTACTGCTTTATATTAGGTATATTTCTTCCCTATTTTAGTCCAAGTATTATTTCAATCAAAATTTTATTTATTTTTCTGTGTTTTTAATCTTATCACATTCTTGGATAGAAAAACTATGCATTTTTTTTCATCTCATGATTGCCTTACTATCGCTTTCTTTCTTCCCAATCTCAAAATCCCAACCTGTTGAAACCCAAGCGCTTCTCCAAATCAAAAGTAATTTGGAAGATCCTTTGAACAATTTGAACAACTAGAAAGCCTGCGAGTCTCCTAGTACATTTTCTGGTGTCATTTGGCATTCCAATTATGTGAAAGTTTTTGAATCTCACCTGCAAACAAAAGCCTTTATGGTGATCAATTTCCAGTTTATGAAGTTAAGATTTGGGATCAAATTTAATCTCTGACATGGTTACCTAAGTAACTAGTTGTCTGATCTTCCGAGGCAAAAAATACGCAAATTTTGTGAAATTTCAACAAAAATCAAAATTAGATCTCATGTTATTGATTTATGGTATTTTAATATTATTATTATTATTAGTAGTAGTAGTAATAGTAAGATGATTAATCAAAATAAAAAATAAAAAATATATATCAATGAAATCATATAAAATTAACGTGCATTACCTCACCGTAGAGCACGAACGTTTGGCCACACTTCAACGAAAAACTCTGCAATGCCTCCGGGGATATTCGCAATCATGCACGTCTGGCCTCATCCTAATACAAGAAAGACGAAGCAGAGGCATTCGTTATGATCCCATTTCGCAATCAAACACTCGAACTCCACTAGACGTCCGTCTTCGACCTGTCTTCGTCCTACTTGTTCGCATGCAGCAACCAAACTTGCGATGAAAAAAAAAACCCACAATAGATCCACCCATGAGCATCTTCCCCTTCAAAAATGGGCATCTTCAATTTTCTCACTCTCGGATCTCCTGTGCTCCAACTTCTTCTTCCATCTCCTACTCCTCCCATATAGCAATTGTTGTGATCTCTCCATTGTTCTCTCCCACCTCTCCTATTTCATAGATATATTCTTCCTCAAATCAGCCCTCCTTTCTTCCTCCACATTTCTCCTCATGCTATATCATTCACCCATTTCACTCCTGGTTATCGGTTCAAGAGGTGGCATATTTTCCATATCACCCAAGATTTCTACCTCTCGATCATCCCTTATTGTGCTGATATTGGGGTTTCCCCACTTCCTTGGCCACCCGCCGGTCCCCTCGCCTCTGATGTTGCTGGTTGGGCGTGAAGCTCCAATATTTTCTTTATCATATCCTCTAGGTTAGAAAACCTTCCTTCCATGGATGACATCCTTTCCTCAACTTCATATTTGAATTGACCAACTTCTCCTTCTAGTTTCTCTTCCAAAGCATCCACTTTCTTCGACGTCATAGGTCCCAAATCTGGCTCTGATACCAATTTGATAGGACTTGATGATCAAAACAACACACAACAATATAAAAAATAACAACTTACTCCAAATAGATCAAGAAATAATACAAAGAGAGTTGTTTTTTACTAATTCCCAAGCAAAGCAAGACAATATACAAGTTGATTCACAGTTCGAGAGTTGAATCGTCTCTCCCACAATTCCTAACAGCAATTAGGAACCCAAAACCTCACAAAAATTGCTGCAAAAATTCAAAACATAATATAAAAACCCCAACCCACCATAATCTCCTCCCTTAAACAACTCCAATCCCCTAATAAATGGCTCTTACATCTTTCCCAAAGAGTCCCCTCCTTTCCCAAAGAGTTTCCTCCCAAAGCCTCTTCTCCTATAGGTGATAAAAGAGGTCCTGGGCCCCACCTGGGTAGCTAGATTGGTGCTACCAACTGCATCATATTTTAAATTTAAAAAGGGGATCCTTCAACTTCATCATCTCAATGTATGAAATTGTTCACATCATTCTCATCGATAACTTCACCTCATCAACTTTCATCAACTACAACTAGCAACCAACAAGTAGAAGATTGAAAATCCAGCCATGAAGATATCAATGCCGATGAGCAGCCAAAAATGAAAGATAAAATCCAGCCATGAAGATATCAATGCAACTACCACTCACCTCCATGCACCATCGACATCATCCACCTCCGCCGTTGTCGCCCACACCAACCACCCCCACTATCACTTACCACTGCAACCGCCCCATCATTGTCCTCTGTCGGCCACCATTATTGAGGCTTATACTAAGTTCATTTACTTCAAACCAAACACAAAAAATGCTTGCATTTGTATTACATTCAACAAAACAACGCTAAAGTTTTTTAAATACAATCAATCTACTCCACATTGCATATTGAATGCACCGAATTCTAAATACTCGAAACCAAATGAACCCCCCTATAAAATTGATTCCCAATTATCCAAGAAATACAATATTGTTGATATATAACTTATATTTAATTTATTCCTTCTCATCATGATACCTTCAGCATAAACAAAATAGTATGCATTTTAGAGTAAAATTAACCTTGCAGGAATTGAATTGAGAGAGATCTGAGTTAAATCCCAAAGCAAATCTTGATTGCTGGCTTTCACCTCTTCGAGGACTCCATGCAACAGATGCAGTTATACATGTTGGCTTCCCGAATATGGAAACAGAATCAACAACATTCTGGAATTCAGCCTGCCAAAGAAACAGTCATGAAAACTCCCGACCATTTGAACAAAAGTACACAACTCCTTTAATAAGGGAACAATTCAGTGGGAAATTGCTAGAAATTTTGAAAAAAGAAAATACTATAGATCGGTTCCTGCAATGGAGAATCGGTATCCTATCAATATTTAATATTTGTGTGTTCAAAAGAAAGGTATTTTGCTTGTCAGGAGATTGGCTAAAGGAAAAAAAAACAAAGAATACAAGACATTCAAGCGAATGAGTTCGTAATAAACGTGGTAGCACGAAATAACTCTGAAAATATAAAAAAGTAAATCATGCAAATTATCTACCTTCACTGTCTTTCGAATCTAAACTCGTCAGTAAAACACTAAACACTCTTAAACTCCTTATTAACAGAGCATGCAGATTACTTTAGCTGCACCATATTTCAACTGAAAGAAAATAATTTTAATAAACAAGTTACAGTGATTATGACAGACATTATTATGCAAGGATCCCATAAATTTCTTACAATTTACCCAAAAACTATATGAAACCTATAAATAATTCTCATGGTTAATCTTTTATTTCGTATCATTTTATTTTGTTGAAGAGGTAATTAGACAGTAGCACAACAGAAAATTAAAACAAATAAAAATGCTATTAGTATAAAATAACAATTTCAAGAATAGTGCATGTCATTTTATGCCATAATAATGTAGTATCTTCTGCAATAATTTTCCATTGGAAGAATATTCGAAATGAATACAAACAAGGACATGATTCACTTGAAGAAGCTCAAAGATACCCTTGTATATTACTACTGCATTGAAAACAAATAGTAATTAGAGTCGAAGAGGGATAATCATAACCTGCAATTGCCACTTGTTCAACTCCAATAAGTCCAAAAGCTCATAGACCTTCACAAGACCGTCCGAATAAGCAGCAACCTGAGAGTTGTAATTATAATATCAGCAGAAATATGTTAGCAATGTCAGAAGAACATGTTCATCACGAGAACCGAAACCAAGAGAGAGGGCAAAATAACAAAATAAAATCCTTTTGAAGGTAAAAATGCTTACAGCATCAAAAGAAATGTATTTACCCTCATAAAGAGCAAGGCCTTATTGCTTTACATTCAATACAAAGGATCTCTGAATAAAAACAATTAAACAAGAAGCTTACAGGGTAAAGATATGCCTTCTAATGAAGGGCATAATACAAAAAGGCACAACATAATACATGTATTATGAGGACGTGTAAAACCCATAAAATTCATGGAGCCTGTGTTTACACTGTCAATTTCGATCATCAAAAATAAATAAAACATCATAAAGCTCACACAAATCTAAGCATCAGCCCTTTGTGTTCTCTGTACACCCACCTCCATCTAAAGTCATGTAAGCATATATTTGGATACCACAAATAAATTTCAATCTCCTGATGTAAAACAAATTATAATGGTGGCAAAACAACCAAGCATGCATGATTCGTAAGGATCAAGTCATGAAAACACCAGGGATGTTCACCAGCGTCTACAGGAGGCACAATTCAGGAGGATGGCTTCATAAAAGCTATATTGCCAAGGGTCGCCAATATCAACTCAGTTGGCTGGCACATATGCCTCTATACACCCAAGCTTGGCTAGACCATGCCCAACTACAACTTGAATCTAGCCACGCTAACATGACCAACCGCATGTTTCAGGTGTCACACTTTGATTCAAGTAATGATAGGGCATCCCTTACTTCAAAGGATGTTAGAAACTATTGATCATTATTTATTGAATAAAAAATAAAAGAATGAAAGGGAATTCTTCAAAATATTTATTGTCTACAAATATAAAGATAAGTTATTTAGCAAGATAGGACCTAGAAAAACATTTAATATATCTTCATATATTACATAACTAGCAAAATATTATCTTGCATGACATAGAGTATGTTGATTATGTTATGATCTTTTTGGTTATCAAGATTGTCTTAAGTTGAAATCTTTAATGGCTCTCAACTCCTTGCCTCTCTACCTATCCCCCAATCAAGAATCCGAAGTCTCCGCAACCCAGATGAGCTCTGAGAACAACAATTCCTCCACCAAAAAATAATAATTAACTAACATATGAATCCTAAAGGTCCAGTCTTCATAATGAACATTATTCCCCGCTGAACTAAGCAATTACAACTCTTGCTTTCCCAAACAGATTACATGACACTTGGACTCTATTTGACACAGTTGTCTCTATCTGAAAAGGCAGGTGATAAGTTGCTACTATATATATTGCTTATAAAAGTGGTTGATAAAGCTATTAATATTATTTGATAAACTTGCGGTTAAGCAATTGTTTCTTCTAACTCAAAATGTGAGTTTACATATTTAATAATAACATTTTATATGTGTCGTACTGTGAAAGGTCAACAACAACAACAACAACATTAAGCCTTTGTCCCACTACGTGGGGTCAGCTACATGAATCTTTTTTCACCATTGTGTCATGTTAAAAGTCAAATTCTCATTTAAATCTAATAAAGAAAGATCATTTCTAATATTTTCTAACCATGTCTTTTTCAATCTACCTCTACCTTTCTTAACATAAGCCAAATCTAATACCTCAACTTTTCTAACCGGGTCATCGAAAGGCCTCCGTTTAATGTGACCAAACCATCCAAGGCGAATCTCTCTAATCTTATCTTCCACTGGAGCTACTCCAACCTTTTCACGTATATGCTCATTTCGTATCCTATCTCTAAGGGTAAAGCCACTCATCCACCTAAGCATCCTCATCTCTGCAACACTTAACTTAGTATTATGCTTCTCTTATAATGGCCAACATTCGGCACCATAAAGCATTGCAGGTCTGACCACCATCTTATAGAATTTTCCCTTAAGTTGGAGGACTTTTCTATCGCACAACAAGCTAGATGCATTCCTCCACTTCAACCAACTTGAATTCTGTTGATAATATCCCCATCTATTTCGCCATATATTCAATTTTAGATCTACTCAAGCAAAACCCTTTAGACTCTAAGGTTAACCTCCATAATTCAAGTTTACCTTCAACTCCCTCTCTAGTCTTATCAATAAGAAGAATATCATCAGCAAAAAGCATACACCAAGGTACATCCTCTTGCAAATGTTTAGTGAGAACATCCATGACTAAAGCAAAAAGATATGGGCTTAAGGCTGATCCTTGATGTAATCCAACCGAAATAGGAAAACACTTAGTCAAACCACCTTATGTTTGAATACAAGTAATAGCTCATGCATACATATCTTTAATAATTTGAATATAAGCATAATTAATCCATTTCTTTTTTTAGGACTCTCCATAACACTTCTCTTGGAACTTTATCATATGCTTTCTCTAAATTTAAATATCGTATGTAGATCCTCCTTATTCTCTCTATATTTCTCAATAAATGTATAGCTTCCATATTAGATCTACCCGGCATGAATCCAAATTGATTTTGAGAAACATTAGTATCACACCGCAACATATGCTACATAACTCTCTCCCATAGTTTTAAAGTATGACACATTAACTTAATTCCTCTATAATTCGAACAATCTTGTGCATCACCTTTATTCTTAAAAATATGAATCAACACACTCATTCTCCACGCATCTGACATCTTTTTAGTCTTCAAAATAATACTAAAACATTTTGTAAGCCAAGAAATTCCTTCATCTCCTAAGCATTTCCACGCCTCTATTGGAATATCATCAGGTCTAACAGCTTTTCCACACTTCATTTTCTTTAAAGTCTCTCTAACTTCGATTTTGTTAATACGCTGATAAAATAAAATTCTTTAATTTTATTTAGGGTGCTAAGGTCACTAAAGTCAATCGCATTCTCATAATCTTCATTGGAAAGTTTAGAAAAAAATCTCATCCACCTTTGTTGAATATCCTCTTCTAATAAAAATACTTTTTGATCTTCATCCTTAATACACTTCACTTGAACTAAATCCTTACTACTTATATCTCCTTGTTTGGCTAACTTATACATGTATATTTTTCCCTCCTTAGTAACTAATTTATTATATAAATCATTAAAAGCTAAGCCCTTTACATCGCAAATAGCTTTCTTATATTCCTTACAATCCTCTTTATAGTTTTCTCAATTATCAGAATTTTAATATCTAAACCAATTTTTATAACAAATCTTCTTATTTTTTATCTTTTTTTACACATTTGGATTCCACCACCAACTATTTTTATTATTATGATTTTTTCCCTTCGAAACTCCAAGCACATCTTTTGCAATATTCTTAATATCACTAGTCACTTTTTCTCATATAACATTAGCATCCGCATGCACAGACAAAATCTTATGATCTAAAATCTTACACTCAAAATACTTTTGTTAATATTCTTTAAATGCCTCCATCTAATCCTAAAATATTATTTTACTTTATTTTTTATTTTATGTCATTTTATCTTAAAGTCCAAAACTAATAATTGATATTGGGTATATAAATTTTCATTCAGAATAACTTTATAATCTTTGCAATCTAAATGATTTAATTTTTAAAAGACCAAAAATCCCCTAACTAATAACATAAAAATATTATGAATAATTAGGAAAATTAAGTTATAAAACTGAATAAACATAATATCTATGCATCAATCGTCCATGGGGTTTTCAAAAATTAATGAGCAAAAAACTTCAAAAAAATAAAATCTAAAATGCCAAAACAAAGCTTTATGTTTACTTAAAACAATAAAAACTTCAATTGAAATATCACACGGATCCAATTAAAGCACAATCATTAACTTATCTTATATATAAATTTAAGCTTATATATGCATGTGCACAAGTATGTTGCGCCTCCAATCAATATTATAAGGAGATGAACTTCTTTATTTGACATGCATATATAATTCTTTTCATTAACTTATATATAAATTTAAGCTTATATATATGCATAAATTTAAATAAAATGCTTTCACGTTTAAGGTTTATTACAATATATAAAGGTCATTTGATTATTTCTTCGAGTAAATTAGTGTTACGAACATTATCAAGTATACCTACGTTAGGCCATAACATTTATTCTTTAAATCATAGAAAGAATTGCAACTTCTATAAGATAGAAATAAAATCACCCACCTCAATCTTAGATAATTTAGTTTTGTCATTTTCACTACTTCATTTCACTTTCTTTGGTGAAATATGTTAGACCGGTCCGCCCGATCCACTAGACCGGTCCGCCCGATCCACTGGACCGGTCCAGCCAGTCCATAAGGGTGTTACAGAGGTTCATACATGAAAGACTTTGGAGAGCTTGCCTAGTGTGTTGTGTAGAGTTTTGTATAAGATTTGATAGGGGTGTCAAATATTGACACAACCCGACAACCGACCTGAACCCAACCAAAAAAATCCGGATTAGGATCGACCCGTTTAACAAATAGGTCGGGTTTGGATCTCCATTTTCGACCCTTTTAAAAAACAGGTCGGGTTCCGATCAACCCGATAACCCGAGATTGACCCGGATGGAATCAAATATTTAAATATGTCTGCCTGTTTTCATCTTATCGAGTTGTTTGTCTTCCCGCTCTCTGTGTGGGAGGAAATCGAGGAATTCCCGGATTGGACATCGCCTACTCGCTAGCCGTCTGCATCATCACGTCAGGCCACTAGGCCATCTAGCATGTCGCCAATTCACTGGCCATCCCCGCACGTGGCACTACCGCACGTGGCACGTCCGCGATCCAAACTCCGAACAACTGGTCAGGACAAGTCGACATTCACGGGTCCGCAAGTCCGCGGACCGCACCGGCATCGCCTATTCGCATTAGCACGTGCCGCCTCAGTCCAGCTTGGCCTCTCCTACAGCCTGCCGTCTTGCCGACTCCCGCTTCAGCCCAGCCTGACCTCACATGTTTGCATTCGGGTTCGCAGGTCAAGTCGTGTCAACCCAGTAACTCGCATGAGTCAGGTTCGGGTTGCAAATCTTGACCTGTTTGCAAAAAATGGGTCGGGTTATGGTCAACCCATTTACGATTGGGTCAAGTCGGGTTCGACCTGAACCCGACACCCGTTGACCCAAATTGACACCGCTAGAATTTGGAGAGCAGAGTGTTCGCGAGTTGAAGAGTTTGAGAGTTGTTTGTGTTAAGTGTGTTGAGAGTTTATTGTGAGTTTGAGAGATGTTGTAATGTTGTTTGAGAGGTTTGGGTGTAAGTTTGTTGAGTTGAATAATGTTGAGTTCGAGTGTTGTTTGGAGAGTTTGTGAGAGTTTTGAGAGCAGTGTGTTTGAGAGTTTCAGTGTTGAGTTGTATATGTTGACTAATATAAACAACTCTTTTTATTTATTTAAACAGAAAACTCTCACCTATCAAAATGGCTCTCTCCACATTTTTAAATTATAGCAATAATTTAATTAATTAATTAATGTATTTTAATTAATCCATATTTAATTGATTGACTAATTAATCACTCAATTAATTAAAAATTATTTTTGAAATAGATTTATTAATTATTAAATTCAAATTGAAATTAATTGGTTAATTGTTTTTAATTAATCCATATTATAATTTAAAATAACATTCAGTTGATATTGTGCTCACAGTTAGTGGGCAATAAAAATTATTAACATGAAATTCTAACTGAATGTTATTTTCATCAACAATTGCTCCTTATTGTTCAAAATTTTATTTGCTTTCACATATATGATGCTAAAGATTCGAATGGGGGAAATTCAAGAATTATAAATAGACTATAAGCTGAAGCAAATTTTCCTTGAAGAACCCCCTCTTGGTTCAACAAAGATCTCCTTGAGCAGCTCCAACAAGGCTCTTGCAAGTTAAATGCCTTGTGAACTATGATGTGTTTGAATAGTTGCTATTTGAATGATTTATATTTGTGCAACTTATGTAGTTTTGATGATTCCAAACATTATTGTTCAAATGTATAGTTATCTCATAATAAAAAAAAAATTATTATGGAATGTCTTTTGAATCTTGAGAATGTTTGTGAGTAATCTTCTGCAACAAGACATGTTATTATCTCTTTTAAGTTGCAAAAGTTTTTGATAAGCTGCATCACAATCTCATTTAAATCATAAGCATAATCCCATCAAGACTCATCTTATAAGCATTCGTCTCTTTCAAGATGTTGCGACCTTTATTGTAACATAAAGGACTAAAAAATTTTTCTTGCAATTATATTTGTTTCACGACTATTTATGATAAGATGCATTACACAAAAAAAAAATCTCTTCTCATCTCTTTTTCTCTCTTCTTTTTTTTTATCAATCAACAAAATATCACTGTGTTAGCACTACTAGATTTCAATCAGCCGTTTGTAGTGGAGATTGATGCATCAGACTGTGGATTGGGAGCAGTTCTCCTACAGAGTCAGAGACCTATAGCTTAATTTAGCCGGGCGTTTAACCGTTAGGGTCAGGCTGAAATTAGTATATAAAAGGGAGCAGATAGCGATAGTGTTAGAAATACAAAAGTGGCAACATTATCTGTTGGGACAATACTTCATAGTCAGGACAAACCAAAGAAGTTTGAAGTTCCATATCAAATCAGAGGATTGTGAAAGACGAGCATCATCACTGTGGCTTTCCAAATTTTTGGGTTATGACTTCAAAATCCAATACAAGCCTAGGCTGAAAAATAAAACTGCGGATGCCCTCTCTAGGCGTGGTGAAGACCCCAGATTAAAGGCTCCTTTCTCCCGCAAAACAATTCTTATCAAAAAAATAATTACAAAAGCATGCTCATTGCCGCGAGTTATGCAGTCTATATGATACATTTAAGTCCTTTGCCAGGAAACAAACTAAGTTCAACACAAAGAAGCTTGATCTTTATATGATTGCACCCAAAGTCCTTATAGGATCATCTTGGATAAGGAAACATACTAGTGCAAACAAGATGGTCAATTATTACATCCGAGGCTCATTTACAAAGGCCAAAAATCAAATAAACTCACTCAGTCTCTCCTCATGACTATAACAAGCAACTTGATGTTATCACCTTGACTTAAAGGTATATCATCATGGCCAAGACACCCAAATTATTTAAACTAAGGTTTACCTCGTAAATCCTTGGGCTATCCTTTATAAGGCTTAAAAACATCCCCCAACTATTCACTCATGCATGAACGTCTTGCATACAAACATCTTTTGCGTAAACAACCACCTAAATACTAAGTAGGGTCAAGCAATACAAAAAGAAAAAGTAGGGTCAAGCAATATCCTTAATCAATAGTGCTCTTCCAATAGATATGGGTAATTAGTTATAAAAAATTGTGCCTGATAGAGTCTCAAACCCATATCTAAATTAGGTCATATCAACAAGAAAGAATCCAGTTATATGTTGTGCACTTTGCCTCCTAAAAGATACCAACTTTATAGCATGAGATATTTGGGCCTGATTTCTAAGATAAGGCAGAGGTCTAAAAGTTGTAGGCTTCACCAAGCTAACAAAAATCTCTATCTTTGATGTAAGCAAAGCTGCCCCCCTTCTTTGTATTTTGGGAAGCGGATGGCTGCTGCTCCCTGGCTGTCCCGGTTCCCTTGTTTTGGCTGTTCGACTCCCTTTGTTGTGGCTGTTTGGTTCCCGCTCTCTACTTTTCCCGGTTCCCCTTGTTGGTTGTTCCGTTCCTGCTCTTGGCTATTTGGTTCTGCTATGCCTTTTTGCTTGGGATTCCTCAACTGTTCGGTTTCTGATGTGCCTTTTCTAAATGTTTTCCTGTTTTTGGTTGGTTGTTTGGGCGGCTATTCTGGTGTCCTTTGGGCTGCTTCTATCCTATTTAAAGGAAGTTTTGTGGTTGTTTTAGAGAGATATTATGGATGATTTTTGGAGTTAAAAACCTGAGGGTTTCTTCTTGGATAGCTTGCGAGCTATATCCACTTTCTCTTCTCCTCTCTTTAACTTCGTTTCGGGTTTCTTATCTACTTCTTCTCTCCGCAAGTTTCCACCTCATTTGTATCTTTCTTCTCAAACTTTTAAAAATATTTAGTTATTAGTTGGTTGTGTTGCGTTAGCGTTGTATTGTATTTTTTTTAAGAAAGTATTGTTCGTTTGAGTTGTCTTTTTTTTTTAAGAAGGAAAGTCTTGTTTGTGTGTCACCTTAGCATTATTTTTTTATTATGTCTATTATTGTGTTAATTTTTGTCATTTTGAAAGGAAGATGGTATCTGTTTGCAATCTTAGTTTTTCCAAATTTTTTATTGCATCAATCTTATATTGTGCATTACGTAATTACATTATGAGTAAGGTAAAGCAATATCCTTAATCAATAGTGCTCTTCCAATAGAGATGGATAAGTAGTTGTGGCGGATTGCGCTTGTTGGAGTCTCAAACCTATATCTAAACAAGATCATAGCGACAAGAAAGAATCTTGTAATAATATTGTATGTTTTGCCTCCTGAAAAATACCATTTTTACAATATGAGATAGTTGGGCCTGCTATCTCGGATGAGAAATAGATCCAAAAATTGTAGGCTTCGTCAAGCTAACAAAAATGTCTATCTTAAATGCCAATGAGAGCACAAGGTCAAAGGTAGTTTCAAGCAAATGATAACAAAAGAAATATAATGATGGGAAATATATCAACTCTTCTATTAATGAATTACACAACACAAGCTAGACAAACAGAAACTAAAGCATTAAAAAAAAATCATGAAAAAATTAAAATCCAAATAAAAAAGATGAAAACATATGTAATAGGAGAATGAGCTATAAATGTCAATAGAAGAAATTATTTTAAGATCTGACCATTTTTAAGTATCTAGTTGGAAGTCCAAATTGTACATCAAGAACTCTAGAAGTACTGCTTTCAAAGACTTTGCATTGCTTCCATGAAACAGAATGGGCATCTAAAGAAGAGTCAACAGTAAAAACAATGAAAGGGCATCTAAAGAAGAGTCAACAGTTAATACTAGAAAAATAAAGAAATAACAACTATAGTTAAACAAAATCATAGATATCACTAAAAAACAAACTATGTACAAAGACTTTATAGATTTTTAACAATCCATGTCGCATGATGAATAAAACCAGTTGTTATCATATTGATAGGAAGAACTATTCATTGAAAAGTCCCACCACTACAGAGCATTGGCTTTCACATTAAAATATCAAGTCATAGTCTAGGTGAAAATTTTGTAAGAAGAGGGATGATGGGAAAAAAGATAATTACTTGGAGCCTTTAAAAGTTGGGTTGCCTAATATGCCTTTTTCCACCATACATGTAATACATTTATTTCACAAATAAGATCATTTTATTTCACAACTATACGCATCCTTCTTTGGAGACTGTTTGGTTTGAAGGAATTGTAGGGAATGAAAATGCATTTTATTTCACAATTTCATATTGGGAGTTTGGTTCAAATATAATTAACAGAAATTTTAATTTATCTAACAATTTTCTGCCCGACCCAAGTGAAAAATGAGAAGAAAGATTAATAGAATCATCAATGAGACTTATATGCTCCTTCATAAGAAATAAAAAACTCGATTACTCATCTACTAAATAAAAAAAGAACACATATTTTGTTTTCACTCAATTTTTCCTCAATTAATTTTAATTCAATTTACTAATAATTTAATCATTTGCATTTCATTTTTATTAATATTTTTGTTACCTCTCCTTCAATTTCTTCAAACCAATCAAAGTCTAAAAATCCAAACACATAAATCCATCTTGCATCTCAATTAGAACCCCTTGTCACGAAAACCATTATTGTTATAATAGATTCTACCTTATTTTCAAATGGATGACCTTCTCATCACAATTTACCCATTGTTTGAAAATCAAATCAATAGTCCATCCACGAAAAAAATAGTACAATTTATGAAAATAAGGTGTAAATTTAAAAAAGATTTTCTTCCCTAATTTAGTAATTTGTGATGCTCATAACTAAGTAGATCATATTATAGTTATGAGTGTCGATCTGATATTACCAGCAACAATGGCATCACCAGACATTTCTAATGTGCTAAAACTGTATATACCCTCCCACAGAAAAAGTTAGTTGGCCATACAATGCACAACATAGATGCGCTTGGAGAGATCACTGTAGAGTGGAATAAATTATCTAAACCAGCATGACAAGTTACAATAATGCCTTGAATCTAATATCACTAGAAAAATCTGCACACGCGGTTAACATGCCCAGAGAGAAGTCATTTGGTTGATAGAGCTCTAATGAGTATCTATTAGTGTTACCTTAATTTTTTATCCTCAAACTTCATCAACGGAATGCTGATATTTAAAATGTATCCTACTACAAACACAAGTTACAATTATAACACGGCCAATGACATGCCATGTTTCTCATAAGACAGGTTATATTTATAAGGTCCAATATCATATTACAAACAACATGGGCATGTTTTATGCCCCTAACAAGTGAAAATACTGGAATCCTCATAAGTTTCTCATACCCTAAAAATGCACGTCACAGTCGAAAAGCAAGTAGGCAAACAATGCACCATACCAAAGGTGCAAGCAGCTTATGATGACCAATTAAGGCTTCATTTGGGACGGGTTTTTTATTGCTTCTTAAAACATAGTTCTAGCACTAAAATTTCATTTTAAGAAGCAATAAAAAAAATTTTGTACTAAAATTTCGTTTTAAGAAGCAATAAAAAAGTCGTCTCAAACGAAGCCTAAATCTTGCATGTTGCGATCTTAATACTTGCATAAAATGTTGGAAACTAAGGAAATTCAAAGTTTTCAGTGCACTCATTGATGCGGACATTAAATCCTGAACTGTCTTTCAGAAATATGGCCAACGATCGAGGGCCATGATCACGCCGATCTACTTTCGAGTGTGCAAATGTATTTGTTTTATTTATTTGCTTTATGTGTTAGTAAATTTTCCCGTTTGTAGGAAGCTATATATATGCCCCATATGTTTCTTTTGAGATTAATGAATGAATGATAAAAATTTCCCCGTATTTTGAATTCTTGTGAGAGCTTGAGAGAGATTGGAGAGAGACCCCCTTGAAGAGGGAATTGGATCACCCACCAACCTTGGAAGAGTCCAGGTTCGTAGTTAGTTTATCATTTTTGTGTTTCTATTTTTTGATGTAGAACGGGTAGGAGGGCTTTGCTAGGGAGAAGATCTCTCAGCAGATTTGGGGTTTTAGAAATCTTGGACAGCAGATTCTGGCCTTTTAGGCAGCTGGACAGCAGTTTTCCTGAGTATAAAATTCAGGACAACAACTATATCTTGGTCAAAATCCTGGAATTATTTCTGGACAGCAACTGGTCTTCTCTTGGACAACAGTGGCGTGGCTGGATATTGAATTCCTTTCTTCCTAATTATTCTCTGGATTGAGAATAATTAACGGAGAGAGGTTACAGCAATTGAAAATATTTCCAAATGAGAATTCTGTGTTTGAAAATAAAGTAAGCTGGAGATGGGACCAGCGGTAGGTGGAGTTGGACGGTAGAATTATTTCCAAATGCCCACGTCAGGTTTTAGGAAAGAAATCAATATTTGGCCTGTAGAAGAATCGGTTGCTAAGATCCTGCTGTCCTGTACTCCTGAAGGTCATATGCTGTGGTTCCAAGCTCCAAATACTTCATAGAAGCTGCCCAAGGTGTCCCCCAGCAGTGCAAATTGCTGTCCAGAAAAATTCTGCTCCTCTTCCTGCTGTCTATCCCCTTGGGAGATCTTCTTGTGCTATCCTGACATTTCAGATTGCTGCCCACAACGTCAACAAGGTTTTTGGTTGCCATCCACTTCCTCTCCAGCACCCAAACAGCCACCGAAACTTCATATCTTCTGATCCTTTGGGTAAACTCTTCTTCCAACTCTTTTACCTTCCTAGTCGCTTGTCAATTGTGGTTTATAATCGATTTATAAAGACTCTTTATCTGCTAAAGCTTAGTATATTAGGGAGTTGAGTAAGGGACCTTTCTTAGTAACTAATCTTATTGTTAACATAGGGATTTTTTATGAAAACCTTCCATGTATGCAACGTTTTGAGTAATTGACTATTTTATAATCTTAACCTCTACACATGTGATTTGGTCTAAGCTTGTTTTATCGCCTTATTGTTTTGTCTTATCGCTTAAAATCAATATAAGTTTATTTAATATTGTTCTCTAAAATTTAAGTGTGTAAAATCCTACATCAAGTATCATCTAAACATTGTAGTCCTACATATCTTTTGACATTACACTATGTCAAATCAGGTAGAAAATCACTAACCAGATGGAAAATCAGTAGTTTAGATGTTTGAAGTGAACATATTGAATGGAATATATAGTAATAATATGAACTAACGTCTAACTCAAACAGATGAAACAGAATTTTAAATGATAACCTTCTCCAACTTCCTCCCACAAGGACAGTGTTCCATCAATGCAAATACAAGCAATAGCATCACCAAATTCCGGAGGAATCCAGACAATATTCATAATGCCATCTGCATGCACCTAGAAAAATAAAGTACACAAAATCATCAAACAATCAAACTTAACAGTAATCAAACTATAAAGGATGGAAATTTTTATTTTAAAAAAAAATATAGTAAACATACCCACCAAACTAACAAAAAAATAACGGAACAGTTCTTTGCAAAGATTTGCATTTACAGAGCTATAAATCTAAATGAAATTTATTGCAAAAATGAAAGGAAAATATATTATTGTGACTCAATTTCATGGGTTGCTAATCAAGAATTAAGTGCCAATAATTCAACAAAGGTACTGGGTGTAGGCGTAGGCACATAGGATCCAAATTGAACATCATTTGAAATCAAACTGAAACAAACATCAAATTTAAAAATTGAACCCAAACCAAAAGAAATAGTTTCTTTTTTTGTCACATATTTGTATCATTATTACATCATTTAAGTCATATTTAAAAAACATTAATATTTATTACAACATTTGGTTCAGCCCCCAATTCAACCATTGAACATTGAACCTTGGCATCAATAGCTATTGCCATTACATCTGCATCACATTTATCTACTCTTCATGGTCTTTAATTTATTAGTCATGGTAGAACAATAAGATTTTATAGCTACTCAAAGATGAAAAACCTTTAGCACGAGTCAAAACAACAGCGTCTCTTCTGATTATTTGGTCACAAGATTTAAGCAGGATTAGGCAAGATTTGAATCAAATCATTCCAAATAATTTTTTGAGATGATTAAATCCAACTTTTATATTAAACTCAAATATAGGCACGTTTTGAGATTTAACAAAATTTAGTAAATCCTACTTGGAGTTGGATTTAAGGAGATTTAACTAATGTTCACTAACCTCTCTCTCTCTCTCTCTCTCTCTCTCTCTCTCTCTCCCTCTCCCTTACTAAATCCTATTTGATTTTAAACCAACTTGCAGCCAGACAACCCCTTCTACAAGTTTACCTTTGTAATAGCCAAACAATCAGTGGACACAACTAGTGCTGATTTCCTTCATATATCTAGGGATTGTTTGGCTAAAAGTATGATTAACTTAAGTAAGATTTATTAAATCCTGATTTACTAAATTATGAGGCAGTTAAATTATGAAAAATAATTTGTCATGATAGGGATTAAATCCAATTAAATCTTAATTAACTGTTTGGCTAGTTGCTTAAGGATTTAAGGCTGTCAACTCAAATAAAATTTTAAGAATTTAAGTCTTTTAACTCTAATAAAATTTTAATAATATCAAATTACTTATTAATATTCGAAATTGAATAACATTAATTAAAGACTAATTTATTCACATCTAATTGATATTATTGAATATTATTAATGCCAATTTAAAATAATTTTGTAAATCTTAATAAAATTAATTAAATCATATTTATAATACATCAGTATCAAAACTAATTATTAATTAATTAAATATTAAAATAATCAAATATAAAAAATTTACTTAACAACTAACTTCAAAAGGAATAATTGAATATCAAGCACCAACTTAAATTTCCTTATTATCCGATCGGCTGTTTATGTTTAGCATAACAGAGAATAAAAAAAGATAAGCATAAGTAAAACTTGAAGGAGCGAAAAAAGAGATTGTAAAGGAGAGACGGTATTCGTATCTGCCATTGCCTATCTATTTCTATAATTTCTCCTCTTTGGTCTCTCCCCTGTGCTCTTCCTATAACCTTTAGGCTCGTCTAAAGTTTGCTTTTCCTCATCGCCATTTCTGTGTTGCTGCTTCGGGTGCTTCGCGTGGAGTGGCGTTTGGAAAGAGTCCTAAAGGAAGCTTCTTCGCTTCCTTCGAGACGGGAGCTCGCCGCAAAGTAACGATATTTTTCCCTTCGACGCGTTTATTGGGCTAAATCCGCCCAAATATCGGATTTAAGGAAAACGGAGAAGGAACGGGATTTAAGATTCTGTAGGATTTAAAGTTGTCATTTTTGCTGTTTGGCAGGCATGATTTAGACTAAATCCTGCATCCAAACAGCCCCCTAGGGCTTAGGCTGAACAAGCGTGTTTAAAATAAAAAGAAGAGAGAGAAGCAACTGACCTTAAACTTCGATGAGCGGGAAAAGGAGGAGTCCGAATCGTGGACGGCGACGGAGCCATCGTCGTATCCCACAGCAAAGCGCTGCCCACAGTAGTTCCAGCTGCAGCATTGCGCGCCCTTGCCTAGCGTGGCCAGCTCCCTCTCCATTGTCACTCTCTCCGTTGCCAAATCGGGGCAGTGCGTAAACCTAATGACAGAATAAGATGTAATGGGGTTTGAAGGGTGTCTAACCGCTCTATGTCGGTATCGGCCTCGCGGGACGAATTGTCTACCATATCTGAAATATGATCAATGTTAATGTGTCGACCCAGGACGTGAACCGTATGTGTAGAAGAATAGATGACTAATTTTTTGTGAGAATAATAAGAGCAAAAGATGAATTATTATAGGGAGATTATTATAATGTGAAAAATAAAAGAAGCTTCAAGTCAAAAAGAGAAGCTTTCTAAAAGATAAAATAAAGTCAAAAAAACTTCAAAAATAGGTGGATCCTCAATCCAATGGATAATATGAAGAGGATTTTATATATTCATTCATATCTTTCTACGTATTTCAGTAATACTTAACAAGTTCCAATAGAAAAATTAGAATCTAACGGACCATAGCAATGAAGACTCGTCTAAAAATAATCACCACATCTCCAAGAAGTATAGGATCGTAGAGAGTCTCGTCCATACTCAGTCAAGCAACTTGAGGGGGTCATCATAGCAAGAATCCCTAAAGACTCGTATAGATCCCTCCTTGCTTTGGAGAATTCACCTCCTTGGCAAAGATCATCCTCCCTAAGCAACTCATAAACACACGAGTCAGCAAGCTATTATTGGCACTCTCCAATCCAACCACAGGGAAGGCACACCCCAGGAAGATGCAAATATGCTCTTCTATACACATCAACCATCATCTCACAGTCACCATAACTTAAAATGACTCATCCCTCACATTAAAATGTCCTAAGGATTGCACCCAAGAGGTCATCAAAGTGAGAAGAGCACTCAGTGTCATAGATTCATCCAACACAGTCAGCTCAAAGGACTCGCCTGCATAGACTCATCCATGAACACCCAGGCAAGGGAGCTCACCCTGAAAAATCGAGAGTTGTGCTAGAAGAGGAGCATTGCGCAAAATATCGGCCAATTTATGATACATGCCATGAGCAATCCTTATTTTGTTGTTTTTATTACTGAACTCTTTGTCTTTTTTAGTATAGTCTTTTTTGTAGCTCTCACATTCCTATAAATAAAGGGTGAAGAGGCACATTTTGGATTCTTTCGGAGCTAATTTACTATAACATTTTCTGAGATTTTCTTAGTCTTTTGCTCGATTATTTGAATCTTCCCTTTTCCTTCCCAAACATACTCTAAGCTCTCAAGTTCTCAACTCTTGTCATATTTTATTAGTAAAGTCAAGTGTTGCCCACGAACGCATCTGCATCCAACATGCTTAAAAGTGTGGTGAGCATGAATTCATGCCAATGACAATAAGATAGCACACCTCGATGAACAATAAAAACCTAAGCCACCAGTAAAAACCATTCGTCATACCCTTATGGATATAAAGGAAGGCTCATGAAGATGATCTATGACACCTTGGTGGAGCCATCCAAGCATGCACTAAGAGAGCACACTTGAACAATCTTTTGACTTAGTTGTTTACCACAAAAGGCCAAAAATCAAGGCATTGACCTTAACACCAAATGTCAATTCCACTTAAGCAGCCATACGTGATGAAGAATGCAACCCTCCTCCCTGATCGGTGAGAAAAGCATAACACAAGTTAATAAATGTCTTCTCTTGATAAATAGTTGAGGTGAGGCCACCTCCAATATTCAAAAGGCCCAAGTTAGAGTCCTACAAGAAGAGGACTGACCTAGGTGATCATATTGCCAAATTCAATTTGATGATGTCATTGCTCTACATCAACCACACCAAGAAGTGTCATATATTCTTCACAACACTTAAGGAGCACTCAAGTGATTCAATCACCTACATGTAGGAGTGATAATAAAATTCACATAGTGCACAAGGATGTTCATCACCCAATTTGTAAGTGCACAAAAATTCCAAAAGAGCTCTCAAGCTCTTCTTTGTATATGTTGGAACCTCATATTATAGGATCCATACTCTTTCCTAAAAATATATAAAATCACATAATGAGCGCATAGCTCAACAAGTAACTAAAATCAATACAAGATAAAAAAGAATAATATGCTATAAATCTTATAAGAAAATATATGCATCAATGTCTATGTTGATTATATGTATCAATTTATCATTCTATAGTTCATTACATCTCAATCCATTATATTATCAGTCACAATATTAATAACAGTCAATAGTACTAATGTCAGCAATAATATTAGTATCATGATCAATAATATTAAATAGTATTGATGATAGTAAATGATATTAGTGATAGTCACAATATCAATACAATGTTCGTAGTAGTGTCGGTATCAACATTTAGATATTCAATGATATTCAATGAGTGTATCATAAGGGTATCTTGCTCCTATACTTATGACTCTCAATCAATCGCCCTTATAACTCTCAATCAATCTACTGCTTATAACTCCCTTTGAATCACGTGAATTAGTCTCCCCAACTCCTTATAACTCCCAATAAATCTTTAACTCCTTATGACTCACAATCAATAAATCATGTGGATCAATATGGTATCACATGGATTATTATATCATGTATATGATATAATTCAATACTTCATTTAAAATGCAATAAAATCATATCAAATCATTCAAAATGATAAAATTTATAATATATCCAAACTTACATGGTGAAAGCTTATGAAATTAGGAGATAATATTTGTTGACAGATTTAAGAGAGATAAATTTTATAGAAATCAAAATCTTTGAAAACAGAAGTTAGAGATTATTCACTTACAATGAATAGAACAAAATCTATAAGAGGAATGGCTCACAAATTTGATCCAAAGGGCTTTCTCTCTCTTCTCTTTTCTTCCCCTCTTTTAATTTCTTCCTAGCCAAGCAATCAAGTGGGGGAGTCAATGGGGTGAGGCAAGGATATATATATATATATATATAGTGTCGCAGTGCCGAAGAGCTTTACTTCATAATTTTCATATTTTTCAAGAAAATTTATTTCACATTTTTTTAGTTATTATAGTTGCGACCTTACTTCTAGACCCATTAAATTCAGATAGTCACTGATCATCCACTTAAAATTATACTCACCAATCTAAATCACTCTGTCAGATTATTAAAGTGTTTAATGTAATTGATCAAGTTTTAAATTACATACACCCCATGGGACATCCATCAACTCCCATGCATTGGCAAACTTTTTAGTAGACTCTAATGGCCCAACAAACTTTTTAGTAGAATCTAATGGCCCAAGTGACAAGCACGAAGCCACAAAACACACAAAATTAGTCCTAGGCTCTATACATGAATGAAGCCTCATGTAAGCACTATATGGGGCAAGTATTGTCATGAAAAGGCTAATAGGAATACCAATAGTATAAGCAACTAGCAAAGGATTTCTAGTTACAAACAATTAAGTTGAGTATGAAGCCCTTCTCATCGGATTATGATTTGATACATGAATTGGCAACACACAACTAGTGTTCTATTTTGATTCATATCTCATAGTTAACCAAATAAATAGTGAGTGTCAAGTACATGAAGAGATGCTGCTAAATGTCATTGTAAGGTGAAGATGGAGATTGGCAGGTTTAAGAGCAAGTTAAGGGTTTTTATGGTAAATCATAGGGTCGTGGCCCACCTAGGGTAGGTACCATAAGGCTTAGAGAAATTTAATCATTTTGAGACTACTAGGGCTCCACATTTTGGTTTAGGATTGATCCATTAGGGTTCACTACCTATCTTGAGTGACTAGGGATTCCTTGGGTAGCTTCAGGACAAACTCATGATTGGTCCAGTTAAATAGAAGGGCCTGTGTAGATTTTCTTCTGGATTTTAAGTGCTAGATTTAGCTTTGACTTATTATCAAGATATTTATAAAAGTTTCAAGGTTCTTAATGGACTTAAAAACTCCACTTAATCCATGCTAGCATTGACCTAATTTATGGGTCTAACATGACTAATATAGGGTATGGACTACCCATAGCGTTTCAAGTTGTTATGACTAGCCAATGCTAATTCATTAGGAATCTACCTGAAATGGTCCTATACAAAGGAAAGGCTTCTAAGAGCTAAGGCCAAGAACATGGGGATATGACAACCTTATAAAAAAATAAAGTCAATAAATGGACCTCCAACATATGTGTTGAATTTATAAAAGTACAACACATATATTGATATTTTCTAAAGAAATCAATATTATCCAAAAAAAGGGATACAATTTGAGTGAAAGACACTTGAAAGGAAATTAGATATTTTAATAGAGTTTAGAATAAAACATTTAAATCTTGAGTTTGAATTTTAGATATTTCAATTTTGTTGAAAATTTTAGGATTTGATTTTGATTTTATTTGAAATTATTAATTTGGTCTTTATTTTGAGATTTTGATAAAATCCTAGCATAACTTCTGAATGTAGGAACCTATTAAGGATGGGTTTAAAAGAATTAACAACAGCCAATCAATGATCACTAATTGAAAATTTGATATGATTTGATTCCTTAATCATTGTAATTAAATTAGGCAATTTTAATTAATATTCATAAAGTACAAACCGGTTCACACAATATAATCCGTTCAAATTTTAAATTTCATTTTTTTACTATTTTAAGTAATCAAGATTCAACAGCAAGGATTCTCAAAATATTAGATTGTCCTATACGATGTTTTGATCGTACAATATGATTATACCCCAAATTTAATTAAATTTAATTAATTTATATTTGAACAAATCATATAATATGATATGTATCATACAATACGATTAATATAAAAACTAAAACATTTAATTTTAATCCCCTTGTGTATGTGCACGAACATCATGCTAACATACATCTAATATAGAAAATGACTTAAGAAAAATGAAAGTGCAGACTCTTTCAAACATGAACTAACTTATACATTGACGCAAACTGTCCATAACTTTGATTTTTGTTTTTGCTTGGTGTATGTTGTACCTAAAAAGTTAGTGATGCACAAGAAAAGATTTATAATTTGTACTGAGAATAATTGCACTGAGAATAAGATCATCAATGAAAAAGTTTCAAAAGAATGAGAATTTTTCTAAGTTTCATTATAAAATAGTCTAAGTTTTACTTTATGTATCAGGAGATCTGCAGACAATAGATGTAGCCACTTTTGTCGCCCATGAATAAAGTATTTTCTAGTATAGTTTTGTTTGCAAATCTGATGTGGTATTACCATATAAGAAACTAACACCTGAAATCTTTTCAGTAAACCAATAATCTCTCTAAAGCCATTAGATAAATATGACAAACCTAGTGGTCCCATTTCATTTCAATTTCATGCAGCAGCTATAACTAGTCTTCTGAGTTAATTTCTCTAAAGCACACTCTTATATCTCTCTTCATTTTACGAGAGATTATTTTGTGCGGTCACCAGACGATCTGGATGTGAATCAGAATACGCCACATCACCCAGTACACAATGGTACACATCACCAGTACACAGCTAAAAAGTGAGGTGGCGTGTCCTGATTCGCCTCCGGACGGAGTCCAGTGACCGCAAAGATGCACTTCTTCATTGGAAACATTAAAATTATAAAAAAAAAAAGTTCTATGTATACCAAGTTTGATGTTACAGATATGAGATATGGGGGTATACTATATCTTTCTCTTCAGTCTTATAAATCTACTTGGTCCAATCTAAGGTTGAAAAAAATCTTTTGTTATCTACAAAAGCAAAGAAAAACAACATTAGGGAAACAAAGAATTTCAGAGACCACTTTTCGATATATTCTACTAGAAAAGAAAAATAATTGATATCACGACAAATGAAGAGGGATTGAAGGTATTAAATTATTGAACTTCTGATAACAATAGTGTTCACAATGATCAGAATAAAAGTTGAAATTGGAAGCTAAATCTTCCAAAATAGAATAGATACCATCTCTCTCTGGATGGCTATTATCCTCCACACAAAAAACATGCACAGTGTCCTTCACCTCAATCCAGCTGCAACCAGGATCCTTCTTCACATCCAACCCTCTCAACCTCTTCCTGACCTTCATAACCTCCTCCCACCTTCCCAACTTTGCATAGATATTAGACATTACTACATGAGTAGATATGTGCTTTGAGTTCAAGCAAAGCAATCTCCAAGCAACCCTTTCTCCCACCTCCAAGTCCATGAAGAACCAACATGCATTCAGCAAAGATCCCCAGATTACACCATCAGCTTCAATTGGCATATCAAGGATGATATCCTCTGCTTCTCTTATACGTCCGGAACGACAAAGGAGATCGACGACACAAGCGTAATGCTCCACAGTGGGCGCCAATCCATAGCACTTCTCCATGGATCGAAAAAATTTCATGCCTTCATCGACCATGCCTTCACGACAACAAGCCATTATAAGCCCGACAAAGGTTACTACATTTGGCTCAATGCCTTGCTTGACCATCCTCCCAAACTCTAGCACGGCTTCAGTTCCTGATCCATGCTGCGCAAGACCATTGATAAGTGCAGTCCAAGAGGCGACATTTGGTGAAACAATCTCAAGAAAAGAGACCTTAGCATCAACAATGTTGCCACACTTAGCATACATATCAACAAGGGAAGTTCCACAATAAACATTGGAACCAAATGGAGACTTGCACAACTGAGCATGAAGCATCATTCCTTGCTTGAGAGTTCCAATGGAGGCGCAGGCTCGGAGCAATGCCGAGAATGTTGAACGGCTACTCGTTATTGGCACATACTGCATCAGTGTATATAGCTTAAGGGCCTCCACTGGTTCTTCATTCTGAACAAAACCAGATATCATTGAATTCCATGTTACTGTGTTGTTCTCTTCTTTTATACTATCAAATATTCTCAGAGATTGCTCGAACTCACCGGCCTTGTGGTACACAGTGATCATGGTGTTCAGGGATACAATATTCTTGCAAGGCATTTTGTCAAACAAGCTTTTGGCATCGGCCATTCTTCCCACCTGTGCATAAGCCTTGATCATTTGATTGTATGAGAAAGGGCAGGGGTTCAGCATTCGGCCGAAAACAATCTCAGCGTCGACGATCCTACCCGCAGATAAAAGGCCAGCAATAATTGCTTTTGAAATTGTTGAGCATGGGCTCGACATTTCCTCAAAAACCTGATGAGCATCCTCCACTGCATCACAGTGGCAGTAAAATTCTATTAGCGCTCCTCCGATAGGTGAGTCTGATTCAAAGCCACACCTAAGTAGACAAGCATGAACCATCGTCCCGAAATCTAATGATTCCAGCTTTGTACAAACTCTCAAAATGGTATCGTAAGTGAACTCATTAGGGATCGCCTCACGGCTTCTTACAAGAAAAACAAACAGTTCCAAAGCCTTGCCAAGGTCCACAGCAGAGAAGCTCCCAGAATAGCCAGATATTAAAGCTGTCCAAGAAACAACATCTCTGCTCGGCATTCTGTGAAACAATTCAAGGGCGTCCTCCATCATGTCGCATTTGACAAAACCCACAAGCATCAAACCCCAAAGCAGTGAATTCCTACAACAGAGCGACTCGAAAAGCAGCAAGGCATCGTTGATTTCAAAACTGGACGTATATAGATTGAGCAGAGCACTGCCAACAAGCTTGAAATCTTCAGATCCAGACTTGAAGACAAGGCAATGCAGCTGCTTTCCTGGCCCAAAAGAACCGGAGCGGGCACAGGAACTGAGGGCGGAAGAGAAGGTCGTTTCGTTGAGCCTTGTTTCGCTCCTGTGCATGCAAGAAACCATGGAGAGAGATTCTTCGAATCTGCCCCATTTGGAGAAGCCTGAGATGATTGCGTTCCATGACACCACTGTTCGGTCGGGCATTCCATCAAATATATGGCGAGCAGAATCAAGATATCCTCTTTTGATCAGACAGCTTATCTCAATGTTGGAAAGAACGATATTTTGTACAGTCTTCTTGCTTCGAACGGTCTTCTCAATGGTTTCTGGACGGAAGAAACGCAGGGCTTCAAATTTGCAGAGATTTGTGAGAGAACCCACAGACATAACCTTCTTGGTTGGCTGGCTAGTCCGTCGAGGCGACACATTAGGACTTCAACGAGCGGATCCGCTAGGTGAGTCCGGGAACCGACATGATTTTTCACGTTTTTTTTTTTTTTTTTTTGAAGGCTTTGTTTGGGATTTTTTTGGCTATTTTCTATAATAATTTTTTAGTATTAAAAAAATTAATAAATTTTTTTTAGAATGTAATAAAAAATTATCCCAAATGAAGTCTAAGGCTTCGTTGGGGATGACTTTCTTTATGCTTTTTAAAGCAATTTCCTAATATAAAAATTTTAATTTTCTTACTAAAAAATTATTTTAAAAAATAATAAAAAAGCTGTCCCAAACGAATCCTAAGACAACAAGCTTAGCCTTAAATTCACTTGCACACCCGTGCATACACGACTTCGAACTTATGATCTTATAATGAGAGCCGATATTCTCAACTATTAGACTAAATTAAAATGGGTTGTATTTTACATAATTGCTCACTGTTATCTACTCTTTGTGTACTTCATTTTATTAGATTATACAATGAGTATATCACTATACACTCACTATACAAAAAATGCACAATTATGATTTTGTTTGGGACTTTTTTTTTGCTTTATAAAGCAACTTTTTTAGTACAAAATTTTTTTATTTAAATTTTTTTTATAAAAAAACTACTTTTAGACATCCACACTTACAGCAACATTGTCTTCATTCCACGTCACTTGAACACATTTGATTATTATCTCATTGTTATTATAAATATATTATAAAGATATATGGTTTCTCAATAATCACATTATAATTATTAGATTTTACAAATTCTGTTGTCATTTGAAAATAATTTAATTTAATTTCCCCAAATGCTTCTTTAAAAAATTAAATTTAGAGAGAAATTTCAAAATTAGATGTTTTATTCAAAAATGATTAATAAAATTACTAGGAAAATACAAGATTAAAAGTAAATAAATAAAAACTTGAAGCCTTGTCTAATTTTCTCTTTGTATTTATCTCAAAGCCTCACTATCGCGTCCGGGCAAGTGTTTGGCCAAGAGCAAATTCATAATCCCACTCTTTACGAAATCATTTCCGTGCCCTTTGCTTCTCTACTTAGATTATCGTAAATCTCCATCAGATCCTTCACTTAGGCTTTATTGGGGAAGATTTTTTTACTCCTTTCTAAAACTATTTTATACTTAAAAAATTTGTTAAAATGAAAATCTATACTTAAAAACTATTTTAAAAAAAGCTATTTTAAAAATTATTAAAGTTTCGTTTGGGACATCTTTTTTACTTCTTCTTAAAATAATTTTTTAATATAAAAATTAAAATTTTTATACTAAATAGTTTAAAGAAGCAGTAAGAAAATCTTCCCAAATGAAGCTCTAATTTTTAAACTAAAAAATAACTTTAAAAAACAGTAAGAAATCTGTCCCAAACAAAACCTATGGCTTTTTAATTATTTTCTAAAGCAATTATTTAATACACAAAATTTTAAACTAAAATATTTTATACTAGAAAACTGCTCCAAGAAAGCGGTCCCAAAGGAAGCCTAAGATAATCGCCCCAAACCAAACCTTAGTCCCTTGGCTTGTTGGAAATCTTCAAGTTTTTTTATAGATTTGAACTTGTACACGTAAATTCATCTGGCTCCTTCATCAATAGCCCCAATTTGCCTGCAGCTTACAACTCATCAAAAGCAGAGCATGAAGAATATAAAAAAGACTGTTCGAGTTTTTCCAAGAAATGAAGCTTTAAAATTGAAAGCAGAAGTTACAATTAGTAAGTCGCAGGCTCTCAACACAGGAAACGAAATAAATGGACGTTGGAAACTTCTCACTACAATTCCCAACAACGACTCCTCTTCCTCAGCTCTAACGTAGCAATTTCATCAACATAAGGAACCTTACATCATATAGCATTTGCACATAAGTTAGGCCCATAAGGAGTAGCAAGCTCAGTACACGGTGAAGGCTCCACTTCCGAAGCAGAACCAGTTACATCCGCACACTTCCATGGCACTTCTTGCACCCGAACAACTTCAAATTTGATATTGGAGAGACAAATCCGAGTAAATGGCGAGTTCTTGAGGCCCTGAATTAAGCCTGGAAGCTGCACATTGTTTCCCCAAACGTCCTTCACTGTCAATCCATCAACCACTGGAACAGCCTTTGGATCGAATTTCTGATCAGGATGGTCTCCTACATTGCCTGCAATTTTAATTCCGATCCGGACGACGTTCATGTTAACATCTGTAACTGTTATGTTTCTGATGTAGCCTCCTCTTCCCTCGTTAGTCTTTATGTGGATTCCAAAGCCGGTGTTGCTGAGGTTTACGTGCTCGACAATGACGTCCTCGATGCCGCCGGATGTTTCGCTTCCCACGGCGACTCCGGCAAATGGTGAAGAGCCTGTGAGCCGTCGAATGGTGATGCCGGAGCTAGGCCGGCCATAGGCAATTCCATATTCGTCCCATCCGCTCTTTACTGATACGAGATCATCTCCTGTTGAGATGTAGTTGTCTTCAATGCACACATTGGAGCTGGAATCTGCATTTTATGTAGTTTACATATAAGAATAAGCATATATATCGCTGGGAACAGATCTCAATTAATAGAGAAATTATTTTGTGCAGACACCGTACGGTCTGGAGACTAATCAGAACGAGCCATATCACCCGGCACAGAGCAAAAAGTGACGTGGCGCGTTCTTGTTGATCTCCGGACGCCGTCCGGGATCCACACAGAATAATTTTTCAAGATAATGGCTCAAGAATAATACCGGGATCAATACCATCAGTGTTAGGAGAGTCACGTGGAGCCAATATGGTTACATTATTTATTACCACATTGCTGCATTAATGAAGAACATTATCAGATGCTATTGACTTGAAAATTCATATATGTTTTCTTAGCATCAATGTTAAAGAAGAATGGAAAGAATATCATGATAACAAGAGAGTGAACTGCTGCAACCAGTTGTCATGCTTGGTGATGCAACCCAAATTGCTAACATTAACAGTTATTTATCAGATGGTTATCTAAAGCTAGTTTGCATTCAACTATTTCCCAAAGAGAAAAAAAGCATATTTAGTACCTGAAGACCTAAACTGATTCCAAGAAAGTGGATCATCTTTCACTAAATGCGCATAATGAAATAAAAAACCATAGGGGATTCTCAAAATACCTAGTTGAATACTACTACAACAACAACATCAAGCCTTTATCGCACTACGTGGGTTCGACTACATGAATCATTTTTCACCATTGTGTCCTCTTAAAAGTCAAATTCTCGTTTAAATCTAATAAAGTAAGATCATTTCTAATATTTTCTAACCAACCCTTTTAAGGTCTACCTCTACTTTCTTAACATAAGTCAAATCGAATACCTCTACTATTCTAACCGGGTTATCGGAAGGCCGCCATTTTAAAATGGCTAAATTCTTTCTATTTACTATGCTTCAGATATATTACTTATCGAGTCTTGTGGCTTTCTTTGGACAGCCTTTTTATTGTTTTTTAGGTAGAAAGGTCAGCCAAAAAAATTATAGCATTTATTTGGATGAAAAAAAAGTGCAACTCTCTCCCTGTTTTTCTTAAAGTTTACAAAAGAAAATTTGCTTTTGAGAAAGCATACTAAAAATTATAGCAAAGAAAATAGTTTTAAAATGAAGATTTAAGGACTATAAAGAAATCATGCAGCTGGTTTTTCCTACCTGCAGTAAACAGGGTGAATGTTCCAAAATGGTGAATCCTGAAAGACCACATTAGAGATAATGATCTCCGTAGTATGCATTAATTCTAATAGATGAGGTCTTGTGAAGGGCAGTGTTCTTTGTCTCCACATATTCCACCATACAACACCTTGTCCATCTATTGTCCCATTGTCCCCTATTGCAGAAGTCCGACAGAAATTGAATGAAAGATGTCAGTAAGCAAATTCAAAAATAAATTTATTTGAAAAAAAAAAAGTATGAGACGTTATCATGCATGAGTTGGTGATGTAATCATTCTAAGGTTTTTTTTTTAATTTATTTATATTTAAATTTAGGGGTTGTTATGTAAGTGTTTATGCATTCATGATTTTTAAACTTGCTTTCATAAAGCCTCTTTATTTTCTCTTTTTGGATTAAGAAATAGAAAAATAGAAGATGAGCCCGAACTTTGTTTTTGTTCATGATAATAATAAAAAGAGAAAATGATCAAAATGATCTCTTGACTCTTCTTGAATGATCAAAATAGTCTTGAACTATATTAAAAGGACCATTTTGATCCCTCAACTCTTTAAAGAGGAGTCAAATAGTCCCACCAATGAACTATTTTGATTCATTTTTAAAAACTTAAGTGACCAAAATGGTCCTTTAATATGGTTAGGGATCATTTTGATCTTTCATAAAGAGTCAATAGATCATTTTCTCATAATAATAATAATATAAATTTTATTGGAATAAAACGTAAAAATGACATTAACCATAGTCCAAATATACATTATACCTAAGTTTGCAAAGAAATGAATTCACTTAAAACAAATAAACTTCACTGAAACTCACTTCTGGAATGAAGCTCAATCAAATTTGAACGCCATGCCAAAAGAATTTCGTCTTTAAAGGGGTCGATCCCAAATAATTGGACAAAGCTGCTGATGATAATGTTGGGAATGATTCAACATTTTATAGGGACATTTTTATCAAGAATTGAAACGTGATATTAGCAGAATATGTTTGACTACAGGGACTTAACATCTTGTGTGAATGATAGGTGATATGGCGGTTCTTTGGCATCATTAATTAAAAATAATAATAATAAGGGGGTGGCTAGAAGTGCGGGTACTAAACTAACATGCAGCTTTTTTTCTTTTCTGAACAGAACATGAATGCAGTTTTTTTTTTCTTGCTTTAGGGTTGGTGCTTTTAGACTTGTCCTGAGTTTATTTGAAAATCAAACGGGATTCTGTTCACATCCCAAAACCCGCATGCAGTAGAAGCAGTGGCAGAGCCACAAGAAATTATTCTGTGCGGGCACCGAAAGGTTCTCCCGTCCGGTTATGCTTGGTACCGAGCACGGTACATTTTTGGGATGACGTGATGCATTTTTATTGGTCTCCGGACACATCCGGACTCCGCACATAATAATAAATCCAGAGCCACGATGGGGGCATGTGGGCATTGGCTCCCACTGGCTATACAATTTTTAACAAAAAACTTATTAATGTAATTTTAGAAAGTATTTTAATATTTAAAAACAAAAAAAAAAACTAAAACTTGAAGGAACCAAAATCTTACCATCGCAGTGTCGTCTGCGTGCGCAGATCATCCTTTGATTTAAAAGGTTCACCATATGAGACCAAATAAAGCCTATAAAGACATTAGGGGTGTAAATGAATTAACCAAGGCTAACTCAAACATGACTCATAAGTCCAATGACAGGCTTGAGCTTGAGCTCAAATGGGAAGCGCAAGCTCGCCTCGGTAGAAAAACAACATGTTCGAGCTTGAGCTAGTAGCTCGAGCCATAGTTAATGATGGGACAAGCTGGAGAATGGATTGATGGGGGCAGCAATGGAGCTCAATGTATAAGGCAAAAGCAGAAGCTCGCTAAAGAATGCCTTGAGGGGGCATCCATCAAGATTCAGGAGCTCAATGGAGAAGGCAAGAGCAATAACTTGAAATTGAAACTTAGGGTTTTCACTTTTCATTTCTTTAAAGGAGGCACAAAATAGTGAGATGAGATTCACAATTAGGACCGTGGGAAATGGGAGCACAGTCAACAAGGTCGAGGAATAGATGTTAGATTCAAGTAGCTTGATGAGCAAACAAGTTGAGTTATACTAAACTCGAGATAAAGCTTGATTAATAACAAGCTACAAACTAAGCTTGTGGCTCGACAAGCCTAAATCTCATGCTCATTAGTGAGCAGAGTTTGAGTCAGCTCGTGAGTTTGTTTGGCTCACTTACACCCCTACATACACATTATCGAAGAAGTCCATATAAAAAGAGTTAAACTTAACCCTATACAAACCAACTAGTTCAAATTGATTTGAGGATCCTTCTTTTTATAAGCAAGGTTAATTCTTAGTGCAAGAGAAGGTTAACTCTTATAGTAAGGAGATAACGAAAACACCCTTAATTATAGTCTCTAGTGCTTAAGTTCAGTACTGATAAACTTTAGTTACATTTGAGACAAATTTTTACTACTTTGCTTTTCAAATCCCTGCTACACTATTGTTAGGCTATTGTTTTCTTGTGCTTTTCAAGAATTCATGTCGTTTGAACTAGCTTTTTATAACCAGATCTGCTAGAGTATCATATACTTGTATCCGACTTTTTCAAAAGGAAGAAAAACTTTAATAACCACAACAAATTTCAAAAAGTTGTTTTTTTTCCACAATAGTTATATATCTACTTTTACAAAGTACTACAACCCCCACAAATAGACCATTAAGTTAAATTCAAGTTCAAGTTCAAGCGAACATTGCTTGACTTAAATTAAAAATTATCGAGTTCAACTCCACTGAATTTGAAAAGGATTTATTTAGAGCCGAGTTGGCTCGACTGAAAATGACTCAATTTCTGACTTGACTAAAAATTGATTTCAAGTTTACTTCGAAATTACAATAAGTATAAGGTTGAAGGGAAGGATCAAACCCAGCATCTCTACCATCTCTTACAAAACACTAACTAAATGGAACAACAATTACTTTCTACTAGTATTATATCAAATATACAATACCAATAAGTTCAAACTGAGTTGAATTGAACTGAATTGACTGTCGAGCAAATAATTAAAAACTCAAAATATATTTCAAGCCAAGTACTCTAGCTCAAAAATAAAATCAAGCGAGCTTATGAGTTTCAGTATTTTTATCAACACTAGATAGGCCACACGAGTTGGGGCACCTAATATTAGTTCAAGGTAAACAACCAATTGAGCTCTAACCAACACCAATTTCGCAAAGAGCCAAAGACAACCATGATGACCCTCTAAATGAACTCAACTTCAAATATCCTAAAGCTTGGACAGTTGGAAAACCCTTTACATGCAAGCTTGAGTTATGGCAATGTAGGTATTCAGTGGGGACAATCCATCAGAACTTAATTATTAACTTGAGCTTTAGAGGGTTCTCCAAGGGGCAGGGGCAACTGCACTCAGGGGAGATATTAGCCTCTTTTCAATGTTGGGTTTGGGAATAGTTCCAACCCTTACTTGCCTTATGCAATGCAACCTGGATAAAATACAATTGCCGCCATACAAATATAAAATAAATAATAAAAAAAAATCCAACCAAGCAACCAGAGTAAAGTATATATAATATGAATAGACCCCGAAAAAAAAAAACCAATGCAAACCATAAAAAATGTTCGGTAATACTTCTTCAACCCTAAAAACAATAAATTTTTTTTTTTTTGGGAAAAAATAAAAAAAATTAAAAACCATAAACACTTGACACTTCGAAGTCTGTGTATGTAAGCAGTGCAGATAAACCAACCTGTTATAATAACATCATTAAGCCCGTCGCCATGAATCAGACTCATATATCTCCCACCCGGTTTCTCGCGGCCTCTCCCATAAGATGGCAAAGGATCAATCAAAGGCCAGCTCTCTGCATCCTACACCAAAAGTACCATAAATGCGAAGGTCAAAGAACACATGAGAAAACTCCTAAAAGCTTCTACCGGCAAAATTTAGACTCAGATTCATAACGATTTTTTATTTCTTCCAATCTATTAATAAACTTTGCAAATGATATGTTTTGGTTAGATTTTTAAAAATAAGTATTTTAACTTTTTACAATTTTATCCGTGAAAATAAAAACATAATTTTTTTAAAGATTTTTAAAATAATTTTAGAGTTTTAAATATAAGATTAAAGTTTAATCACATCCAACAAATCTGCTAATGCAAAATCTGGGGAATAAATCTTCAGACGTGTGTCATATAACAGATATTATCGTGCAACAAGAGAGATATATGGGCTGTTTGACATCCTATTTTAGACAGCATTCAAGCAAAAATTAACTTAAATCCTTTAAAAAATAGTTTTAAATCCTACTATTCTGATAAATCTAATTTCAAATCCAGTATTGATTAAATCCCATCATGACAGAATTTAACGGATTAAAAAAATTATCCCTTATTAAATGTTAAATTTCAAAACAAGAATTTAGCAAGATATAAATGTTATCATGCCAAAGAATTTTCAGATGTTAATCCTCTCAAGTTTCACTAAATCTTGATTTACCGCATTTACTAAATCCTAATTGTTGCTGAACAGCACAGTAGAGATATATTGAGTGTGATAAGTCAAACCGCCGTGGTATGCCGACCCTCTATCTACATGCAACCAAATAGAGGAAAATGCTATGATGCCCACTTACGAACTAAAAAAAAAAATCTTCCAGCGCAACCGCCGAATGGATAGCAACACCGGTATTTTCTGTTAGACCTTGAGCACGATACATCGCCGTTTCAGAATCCATTACCTGTTGTGGCCCTGATGACCGCGCCTTGGCGAGAAAAGGTCATGTAGCTGGTGAGATAACGCTCCAGTGAGCCCAGACTCCGGGCAGGGAACGTAAAAGAAGGAAGCGTACCGCCGGACGATTCAAGTGCTCGATCCTATAGATCGCCATCCTATTCGAACGCCTTCGTTATCAGCGTCCGCCCGTCTCCAATCCTCCAAAATCCACAATCGATATCGTCTCCGCCCGCATCTTCATCGCACGATTCCCGACCACGTTTCCTCTCCAAACAACACATTGGCAGGAGGAAAACCAAGCAGTATCAGCTTGAAGCATTTTCGAGTTGCAACCGACAGCGGAAGACTGCGCGACGTCGATGGCCGCCAAAGTGGAAAGAGCCAAACCGTTAGAATCTTCCTCAAGAAGGATGCAGATCTTTTTTCCTTTCTCGCCAAGAAGAAAATCCAAAATCAAAATGCTAGAGAAATGGAAAGCTCAAAGCAGGTTGTTTGGCGGACTGCGCGTTCTTTAATGGCGATTTATGCCACTTACAGTTACTGGTCTGATTAAAGAAATGGTGAGGGGAATTTATGAGCAGCAGAGCCGCAGCATCTGCGAAATTAATTTATCTGCTTGGTGGCAGGATAAGATGTGATGAGGTTGGAGGATAAAACTAATTGATTTTTTTTTCAATACATACAAATTATTTAATCTATAAATAAAATTACTTTTCATTTTTTAACATTATTTATAAATATTAAATTTAAACAATTCTAATGCAATTCTTTATTTTATTAAATTTCCTCGTAAGCCTCAAATATAGCGATAATGTGTTCAAAAACATGAGAATCAGTAACTTTGTAAAATAGATAAAAATTTGATGATTACACATAACCCGTTATCTTGTAAATTATGAGCAATTTTACAATAATTTATTGAAAAAATTAATTTTTTTATGTTTCTAATATAAAAATAATTAAAATATGTTGTTATTGTATTTCTTAAAGAAAATATATCTAAAAATTTATTATATGCATCCTCTAATTTGAGTTTTGGGATGGCATTTATTAAAAGCTCCCATTTTAATTTATATTTTTAAGAAAAATGACACTCCTAATCATCAAAGAATCGACAGACCGTGATTTACATATCAATATATCATATTTTTAATTAATTACAATTTCTGTGTCACTTAATATATGTTTAATAAATAATTAAGGAATTAATACTAAAATTATTTAAAAATTTTTTATTTTGTTAAAAAATAAATTTAATTAAATTTAATAAGTGAAAAGATTATTTTATTTTAATTTAAAAATAAATATATAATAATTATAATTTTTTTGCTTAAATTTATATATAACTATAATCTGTATAAACTCTAAATGGTGTTATATAAATTTTTTTTTATTTAAAAAAAAATATTTTTCATAATTTATCATGAATTAGATAAAATAAATTCAACTTATATTATTAAGATTTAAAAGTCATAATTAATTATTTTTACTTTATCAATAAATAAGTAAAATAATTACTTGAATTTAACAAAATTTAAAATTAAAATAAATGATTTTGGAGCAAATAATTTAAAAATAATTACCTTTAAAGCAAAAGGAAAAAATGTTTAAACTAGCCAACTAGGTATTATTAAGACTTTAATAATGTAATTAGGTATTGAAAAAAATAAATTTAAAAATAGGCAAAGTCGCCTATCAAACATGCGATTATTGTTAACTCAAACTTGTTGAGTCATGTAGTAGTTGTCGAGCTGACAGACAACTTATTAAACAAATTACTATTGTAAGTTGTGCGTTAAACGGGCAGCTTGCTACAGTAAAATATGAAAATTAATTAAAAAAATAAGTATAAATATATATTAAATGAACATATTTAAAAATATTTAAAAATAAAATAGAGACAAAAAATGAAGTTAATATAAACTATAATTTCTTTATTTTAATAGTAGTCAATAGTTTAAATAAATATATTTTTTATCAAATATTGATAAAAATGAACTTTTTTGTTTATTTTGATATTATTAAAATTTGAATAGGCATTTTTTAATGGATAATCATTATATCGAAAATTAGAGCGGTTCAAAAAAAATAACGATTCAAAGTTTTTTCTTAAACACGGGCTTTGAAAGTAAATATTATAACCCTATATTTTTATTTAAAAATATATATTTAAATTATTGACTTATATTAAAATATATAAATTATATTTTAAATTAACTCTTTTTTTGACTATTTTTATTTTTAAAATAAATTTAAATTATTTTTTTAATATGTTTTCTACCTATTTTATTTTTAAATTATTTTTCAAAATTTATTGGAACAAGACGATCGTTTAACGTGTAACTTATAATAGTAATTCTTTTTAAATAATTCGCCTATTAGTATGAGGCATCATTTGAGAAGACTTTTTTATTGCTTTTTAAAGCACATTTTTAGTAAAAAATTAAAATTTTTTAACTAAAATTATATTTTAATAAACAATAAAGAAGTCGTCCCAAATGAAGTCTGTGTCAGCATTGATCGCCCTTTTGATGGAAGGTTTTACTTATTCTGAAATTTATTTTTTCGATATTTAATTACATTATTAAAATTTAAATAATACATAGTTAAAAAATGATGTTGATCGAATCTAATGGCGGATTATTATTTATTTTTTTGTCTCGAGGGTTCATCACATTTTGCGCTATAGTTATCGGAGAGATTATTAGGTACGGAGTGCGGATGGGGAGAACCGTCCGCACAAGCTTTATTCTACGCTAGGTACCGACACTCGGTACCGTTGGATACCACTGGGTACCGCTAAGTACTCATATTTGTTCTGTCGGTGGTCACTCCGCACCTAATAATTTTTCATATTTATCGGTCCCCTCAACCGACAATTCTCCAAGCTGGCATTTAATAATCATATTCAATTCTGCATTATCATGTGCTGCAGTGGAACACTGTTGTAAGTATAATCAGGAATCTTCTTAATTATTTTAGGGCAAATAATATATAGATCATGTACTATAAATTAATCATGATACGTCAGCTAAAAATTCCCTTATATCAAACATCAATTTTGATGTAATTTTTTTATTGAAAATTTTCAGAATTTTGTGGCCCAATGAATATTTTACTTAAATTTATAGTCTAATTTAACATTTTCAAAGAATAAATCCAACGATATAAAGAAATAATAATCCAATTTTAGCTCAAATAAGTTCAGATCAATTATTTAAAACTCTATTAAGAACTTGATATATTAATTGGAGGATGAAATAATATTCAAATCTGAAATGGTTATGTTTTTTTGGTCAAATTGAGTGTCTCAAAGAGATAAAATTGATCCCAAGTCTATTTGATTCTGCATCATTATATCACTTGAATGATGAAACAATCGGATTTGAGCTAGGAATTGATACGAGTTGTGCTTGAGTGTTTTAAATGTCAGCTATATTAGATAAGAGTGTCACTTTTGATTAAGGGTGTAAGTGAGCTGAGCGGGCTCAAACTCGACTCGATAACGAGCTCGCAAGTCGAGTATATCGAGTTGCACGAGCTCGAGCTCGACCTCATCTGTTAAATGAGCTCAAATTCGAGTTTGATGAGACTTGACTCACGAGCTGGCTCATCGGATTATTATGTTTTTTTTAAAATTAAATAATTACTATTTTCATTATTTAAATGTTAAAAAACAAATAGATTACTAAACCTGCAGCCTTTGCTGCAGCAATACTAAATACTAGAACTCTGGCAGCGTTTATAAAAAATATATAAAACATTGCGATATGTTACCAAGGGAAAAAAAACTGTTGTAATTTATTACTCAAATTAACTAGTTCAAGTCGTTTCTCCACCAGGAAAAAAAAAATGCAACATACGCTTTCAAATGTGATGGCGTCTGACGCTCCACAAGAAAAAGGATAAAAAGAAATGCCTTCTTCTTCTCTGGTTGTGATCGCATCGGCGGTGGCTAGTTCTTTTGTGACGAGCTCATGAGTTGACTAGCTGGAGGTTGCTTTTATTGTACGAGTCAAGCTCGAGCACACCTTTTGAGCTTGACTTAAGCTCGAGGTCGAGCTCCTGATTTGGCAGGCAAGCTGAACCCTAAGTCTCTGGGCTCCGTTGAACCACCACCTGAGGCTCTGAGCTCCGTCGAACCACCACATGAGGCCCTGGGCTCCGCTGGACCACCACGTGAGGCCCTGAGCTCCGCCGGGACACGACCTGAGGCCCTTAGTTTCACCGAGCCACCACCTGAGGCCTTGAGCTCTGCCCAACCACCACCTGAGGCCCTGGGCTTCGTTGGACCGCCACCTGAGGCTTTTGAGCTCCGCTGGACCACCACCTGAGGCCCTAGGCTCAACCAAACCACTACCTAAGGCCCTGCGCTCAGCCAAACCACCACATGAGGCCTTGATTTCCGCTGGATAACCACCTGAGACCCTGAGCTCCATCGGACCACCACTAGAGGCCATAAGATCCACCAGACCACCACCTGAGGCTTTGAGCTCCGCTGAACCACCACCTGAGGCCCTGGGCTCCGATAGACTACCACTTGAGGCCCTGGGCTCCATCGAACCACCACTTAAGGCCTTGACTTCTACTGGACCACCGCTCGATACTGAAGTTCTACCGAACCACCGCCTAAGGCCCGAACATCCGCCGGACCACCACTTAAGGCCCGAAGTTCTGCCAGATTACCACCTGAGGCCTGGACTTCTGCCGGACCATAACCTGAGGCCCAGAGTTCCGCCACACCACCACCTGATGCCCATTGTTCTAATGGCCCACCACTTGATGCCCAGAGTTGTGCCAGACCATCACTTGACGCTCGTAGTTCCACCGAACCACCATATGATACCTGACTTCCACTGGACAATTGCCCAATGCTAAAATTCTGCCAAATTAATGCTAAGCTACCAACTAACGCCCAAATTTTCAAGTAGCACTAGACTTCTGTTAGTCCATCAAGTGACAATGTACTTTCATCCCTATTTGTCACTAGATTTTAACCAAATGATTGACATTTGTAGACTTTCGCCGGACCACCACCCGAATTACTTAGTGACGCCAGACCTTCATTCTCATTTATAGTTAGATTTCAACCATACGGTTGGTATTTGTAAATCTGATTGCCCTCAAGGACGAGTCATCCTGCTGTAATGTACTCAAATTCTAGTATAATCATTTTTAATTGGGCCATGCCCCATGGTTTTTCCCTTGCCAGGGTTTTTTACATAAAAATATCTTGTGTTCTCTGTGTGTGTGATGGATATACGTATAACGCTAAGACGCAATATTTTAACTCTATCGACATGTACATTCTAGCCCGCAACAATACTAAAATTGATATGATCTTATTCTAAATAAGCATAAACCAAGCACCTAAATTATAGTAGAAAATTTTATGATAATAATTAAAGAACAAAACAATATATAAATAAGAGAAGAGAATGAAACAAGGAAGCAATAAGAGATGGAAGAGAGTTCTATTGCCACCAGACTCCTCGACGACCGCCAGACTTCCACCTGTCAGCCAACAGACACCGGAGTTCTGCCTGACTTCCAATTGACACCAGAGTTTTCCCCGACAATCTACTGATGCCGGAGTTCTTCCCGAGAGCCGATCGACGCCGGACGATTGACGCCGGATTTCTACCCAACTATCAATAAAAGTATGATTTCCACCCGACCACCAAATATCGACGGATTTTCGATCTCCGTTTGTAACTAACTTTCAACATGGGAGTTGATTATTGTAATATGATCGCCCTCAATTTCAGGGACAAAGCAGCTACTTGTAATCAAAGTAAACACTAGTGAATCCTTTCAATTGGGCGTGACCCCGAAGTTTTTTTTCCTTTTCCAAGGTTTTCCACTAAAATAATGGTGTTCCTTTTTTCTTATATTTGTGTGCTAGATATCCGTACAAGGATAAGACAAAAAATTTTCTAACTCTATCGTCGCGTATATTCTAGCCCGCAACAAGTATGAATACATATATATGTTCTGGTTAATTCTAATTAACCAAAATATAAACAAGGAGAGGAAGATTAATTAGTTATTCTCCTGGATAATGTGCCATAGATACTGAAATATTTTTAGCTCATAAGAACTTCGTTGAGTATTTGAGTTGGATCTTGACAATCAGACAAGAATAGTTTGAAGATCGAAGTCAAGAGATGGTGATGATAATTATTAATAATAGTAGTCAATGGTGATTGCGAGAAAATGCAATAGAGTTATGTAGCTCTATCATCTTTTGAACTTCATTTATAACTTCTTTGAGAGTGATATATTAATAACATTAGCCAGAATCCAAAACACTTCGTCGGTGTATATTAATCCTCTTGATTACATATTGTTTAGTTAGCATTTGAGTGTTTTAGTAAACTCATAATTGAATGACCTTCAACTCGATGTATTTGTCTCATTAAGTTGTTTGATTTAACTATCAAGCACACAAAATTTGAAAACTATTTGATCTTCGATTAATATTATGAAGCCTCTCAATATCTTTCAAATGCTTAATTTGGATTCACTTGGAGTCAAATTGGATTATCGAGACATTTAATTTACAAATAAATTTATTGAAATCAGAGCTTGGATGGTTCTGAATATAATTTTGAAAATATTTAGTTCAAATGTTATCTTGAGAGTCATCCCTATTTTTGAAAACTACCAATGATAATGGATTATGAAGTATATAATATGATGATTTTGGAAGCATTCGGTTTCAACATATATAACTTATGTTATTATTATTTTTAATTGTAGCTTTAAGTCTGCTTATTAGCTCTAATGACTTCTCCAAATCTCATTGGAAGCAAATAAGTTGATCAAAAATCAAGATTTTATTTGGAATGATTTTTTTAATGCTTCTTAAAGTAGCTTTTAGTATAATTTTTTTTTAAAAAAAAAAAATCTTTAAGAAGCAGTAAGAAAGCCCAAATCTAGAGTACTGTTACACAATAAATTGCGAACAGGAAGAAAAAAGAGAAACTCCAACATAACTAAGGGAAGAAAACATATGAAGAATTTACAAACCTTCAAACTCAAAAAGGTTCCCAAAGTAAGCAAAAGGGATTAAAAGTGTAGAGACGGAATGAAAGAGTAGAAATATAGAGACGGCTTTGCAAAAGAAAAAAATTAAAAGATGCAGAGTTAATACCTATGAGGAAGAAGGCTATGGAGAATTATGATTTCTTTTTTCCACAAGACTTCAAAACTTTTAAATTTTTTTTTTCTATGACTGAGCCTTACTATTATGAATAGTGATATATATTTGTTTTTCTAAAGAGTAAAGGGAATGTATGGGCAGTCTCTTAGCTTTTTCAAAAGAGTCATTTTATTTTTATGACATTTTATGTAGGGTTTCATATAAGCAACGGAGAATCTTCCAACAACCAAGAAATTCTTATTTTTTAATTAGATTTTATGCATTTATTTTACATTTCTATAGAATTGAAAAATTAAATAAGGGCATCTCCAACCCTAAACCTCATTTTCCACTCTAAAATATCGTAAAACTTCAAAATACGGTAGTTCATCTCTAATGGAATTCCATTTTTCTTTTTTGCAAGCTTCTTTGCAAATGTAATCATCTCTCACCTGTTTCGCGTGCTTCCTGCAAAGCCAAGCAGAGTGCGAAAGTAATCACTTTTTTTGGGCGTTGGTGAATAGTCGGACGTCAATATTGACGTTGTACTGTTCACCTATAATTTTTGGCATGAGATTTGAAGTACGAATGTAGTAATTCACAGACCACATACAATGATATGTTTGGGGCGGCTTCACTGCTGCTTTGCTTTATAAAAAGCTGATAAATAATGGTTTGGGCCATCACTGATTCCCGCGACCTTTCATTGCGTCCTGCGGGTCGCTGCTTTTCCCTGTTCTGAAGGGCAAAAATATCGTAAATGCCCCATTCTACGAGAGTGCTCGATCATTTCCGATCTCCCTCATTTTTTGAATAATTATTAGTTGCGGAGTGCAGACGGGGAGAGTACCGTCTGCACAGACACAGGGTACCAAGCGGTACCTAGTGGTACCGAATGGTACACAGTTGAATTTTATACTAGTGTGCGGACGGTTCTCCCCATCTACACTCCGCACCTAATAATCTCTCCTCATTGTGGGTGATGTCATTTCGTGACGATGCCACAGAAGCTGCTGTAGCGCGGGTGGCGGTGTTCGACTACGACGCGTAGGCTTGTTATTTGTACAGCGACTTAGTCAAGTATCTCGCATCTTCCTCCTCCCTGGACCGAATCAGCTCTGCACCCTAGCCTCGTATCTTCGATCTCCGGGCACTTCCTATCTCGCATCTGACGCAGAATGCAACCGCGAGGGCAAGCTGGTCGTTCGCGGCCAGCTTCATCTGACGCCTACCTCTGAAGAAAATGAGCGGAGGAGACCTCGTCTATTTAAACCTTAAAGTCGGGGCCATTCGCAGGCCATCAAAGCATCAATGGACCGAACTCATAATCTCTTGCTGTTACCTCGCCGGAGGAGAAAAAACCGAGCTTTCTCGATCTGCTCCATTTTTTTCCTGCTTCAGTAGTTCTTATTGCGGCGTTGAAGCAGATCGCCTTTAAATGCCGACCTGAGAACATGGCTTCCATCAAGTGAAAGAAGTAGGATCCAAACCCTGAAAAATGTCTCGACAAGGTCCGTGAATTCACCCATTCATCAGACATGCCCCAAGTAGATGGATGCTTATGCTGGGTGCTTAATTATATTACCTCCTTAACGAGTTCGAATATTGTCGTAAAGAGCAGGAAGCTTTTGAGATGGTCTGCCCATTGTCTGAGTATGCATGTTCCAATGAATTACACTACTATTATGAATAACCAGAAAAGTGTTTGAATCCTCAAACTCTTGGCTACTTCTGAAGCTTATATTGCCAATACATTGTAGATTTTTCTGATTCTTTTGAGTTTACTGCAAAGAATAACTTCATTTACTCTATTGATATTCATCTGTCGATATTTATGTTAATTTAAGGTCATTAGAGATCTAAAAGAAAAAAACATCACTTCATTCTACCATCGGGCCTATCCTTTATTCCCATGTATTCATCCTATTCTCAGCTTTGGACTCTACCCAGCTTCATTCCCCTTTGTCATTTTTTCACTGAATTGTGATTTTTTATGTCTTTCTTCACAAATTTGTTTCATTTCTGCTGTGACTGGTGGGGGGATTACTAGAGCTTCTTCTCCCAGCAACTGTTTGGTTTTATTTGTGATTTTATTGGGCATTCTCGTGAATATATCTATATGCATTGCAGATATGAAGTGAACTAACTTTGAGGTAGACAATTTTATGGATTAATGATAAATTGCTTATAAATTTCATAATCTGAGGCATGCAAATGGACTTTTCCCCCAATAAAAATTTCTACTTTAGTTTCAGTTGTATATCGAAACAAGGCAAGTTTTTATTTATTTCAATTTTTCAAGTAGTAGGATGTTAAAAATGTTGCTTAGTGGTTTTTAAATCCTTGTGTAGCTAAAGAGTTCTTTTTTATAGCTTTATCATTGAGTTAAGATAGTTTATAGTTATACTTGGAAAGGTTAATTCAATATAATTCCATTATGCCGTGAATCTGTGTTAGCGAATACATTATAACTCTTATTCTGTACCAACACTTATTTACCATTGTACTCACTCACGCCTATATTAAGGCTCCTGTAATCTACTTTCATGGCATAGAAATTATATTTTCTTTTTTTCTGTCTCAGCTTCGGCTCGTCTTATCTCCCTGACTTCTTCTCTGTTCTAGCTTCTTGGCTGCTCTTTCATGGTATCAGAGCCATTAATGAGGGATCAAGAATCATCTTCTTCTTCTCCCACCCTCCTCCACCAATCTCGCCGGAGCAAATACTGATGAACCCATCATCCCAGCACCCCTCAAATTTCTTGTGTCTAACATCAAGACTCTTCTTCCCCACCCGCTTACCCCAGACAACTATACAATTTGGAGAATTCAAATTCTCCAACAATTTAATGCCACCAGCTACGTCGGACACCTCAATGGCACAATCCAGCCACCGCCCGACACAACCTCCCCTGCTCATGGCACATGGATGCTCACCGACAGCACCCTGATTTCCGCATTGTTCTCGACTATCTCTCCCTCCATACTGCCGTATGTCATCATGGCAACCTCCGCAAGAGATGTCTGGACGACTCTTGAACGCCGACTTCAGCCCGCTAGCCGCTCTCGAGTCATTCAACTCAAGAACGAGTACACCACATACAAATGAAGAATCTATCGATGCAGCAATATCTTACCCAAGTCAAGACTATAGTCGACAACATCGCCGCTTCCGGATCCTGTTCAATCTGAAGCAACAAAGAGTTTGCAGTTTCGTTTATAATTTCTGGAAAGTTCAAATGGATATGAATTTAATTTGTTTGAAGCAGTTTTCAGTAATTTTGTTTGAAGCAGCAAATTGTATATACGGCTGAAACTTTCCAAATTTTGTTTGAACATTCGTTAAGTTGTATAAGATACAACTGACTTGTAAATTTTGTTTGAAGTAAAAGTCATTTTAAAAAATATTAGGAGTTCTTTGATATTTAAAAGTCATAAAATATTGATTTTTTTTTTAAGTCATAAAATATTGATGAAACAATACTTTGATGAAAACTCGAATTCTGAAATTATGTAATGTACAAAATTGTTTTTTGAGATGAAGGATTTTATAAAGTTTTGATGGTTTTGACTGTTTTGATTTTCTTATTCAGTTTATTTAAGCAAGTAAATTTTTTTTAAAATATCAGAATAATGTATTAAAAATCAAATTTTGCAAAATAAATATTAGAAGAAATATCAATTTATTAAACAACCTTTTTAGACCTATATTATGCTGCTTCTGATGCGGTGCATCCATGCGTAACACTGACCCAGGGAAGTATTAGTTATTATTAAGACTTTTACTAATATTACTATTTATTGTTTAAGTTGGTTAGGGAGCATGTGCTCCACTACTTTCTTTTCCATAGTTAGTTATTATGCTTTATACCGCACTTTTACAGTTCAGCCCTTTTGTAGTATGGCAGGGAGATTGGTTTTATACCATGGTCGATGACTATAGGCATATAGAAAAAAATATACTCAACAGAAGTTGCTACTGTTCCATTGAAATTCCTTTTTTTTGTTCCTCTGTTTCTTCCTTGCAGGTGCAATCAGCATCATCTTGGTATCAGAGCGAGGATGGCAGAAGGGAGTAACCGGGTGGCTGTCGGAGATGCAAACAGCTTAGAAGCCCTTTGGGCGGAGCACACCAGTTTGGTGAAACAAACCAACGAACTCGCTACAGATATGTATCGGCTCTTTGGGGAAGTGCGACGAGAACTGAGAATGATCAATGCTCGTTTAGATCGGAATCAAGCCGCTCGTGCAGAAGGTCAGGCTACCTTGCCGGTCGCGAGACGTGGATTCGTGGTCGATAGAGATCATCATCGGAACACTCAGACACAGGAAGTAACAGACTCCGAAGAAGAGCTTGAAGGTGGTCGTTCTGTGCAGTTATCGGAATCGGAGGAGGAGCTAGTACCAAATCGGAGACGACATCAAACAGGAAGGAATAGACATCCAGGGGATTTTCGAGTGAAATTAGATATTCATTTTTTTTTATGGCAGATTGCATATTGAAGATTACCTTGATTGGGAGAGGGCAGTCGAGACCTTCTTTGAGTACATGGATATTGATCCGGAGAGGCAGGTGAAGTATGTTGCCTGTAGGTTGAAAGGGGGCGCTAGTGCTTGGTGGCAACAAGTCATTCAATCCCGCAGACGGGAAGGCAGGGGAGCAGTGCGGAGTTGGTTGCGGATGAAACAACTACTCCGAGACCACTTTTTACCAACTGATTATGAACAGATGTTGTATGTGCAGTATCAACATTGTTCACAGGGAGCTAGGACTGTGAATGAATATACTGAATAATTTTATCGGTTGAGTGCTCGAAATAATCTCAATGAATCGGAGAACAAACTGGTTGCACGATATATAGGAGGATTGAGAGATTCCATCCAAGACAAATTAGAATTAAACACGGTCTGGTCATTATCACAAGCAGTAAATTATGCTCTTAAAATTGAGCTGCAATCAAAGAGGCATTCAGCCAATCGGAAAATTCGGAGGAGCTGGGAACAACCTGTTGAAACTAGCAAGGTTATTGTGCAAAACTCAAACACTTACAGCAAACCGGTGGCAAATCCAACGGCAGTGGGACAACCGCAGGCACCTGGTCCAAAGGCATTTGAGCCCAAGGGAAATATGAGATGCAAGGTACCAGTGAAAGAGAATCATTATGTTAGACCAACTACTTTAAAATGTTTTCGATGTTTTCAACCGGGCCACAAATCAAACGAATGTCCCACTCGTGCTCACCTACAGTTATTGGATGGAGAATTGGAAGAAGATGAAGGCAATGTTACAGAGGGTGTCGTAGAGGAGATTGAAGACGTGGCCGATGATGATGGTGAACCTGTGTTGTGTGTATTGCAGAGACTCCTCTTAGCTCCTCGACGACATGCTAAAACTTAGAGAAATGCACTTTTTAAAACAAAATGCACTATCCAAGGAAAAGGTTTGTGATGTACTCATTGATAGTGGATGCACAGAGAATGTCGTCTCTCGTGCAGTTGTGCAATCACTGTAGCTTAAAACTGTGAAGAGTCCAAATCCGTATAAAATAAGCTGGGTCAAAAAGGGAACAAAAATCTCAGTGACGGACATGTGTAAGGTCTCATTTTCCATTGGCAAACACTATATAGGTGAAGTGCTTTGTGACGTAGTGGATATGGATGTCTGTCACTTAATTTTGGGCCGGCCTTGGCAGTATGACGTTGGAGCAATATTTAACACTTATTCGTTTGAGTGGAAAGGCAAGTGATTAAGGTTACTACCTTGGGCACTTGACCAGGATGCAAAGGTTACCAGCTCTCAAAACATACTATATTCTGTATCTGGCAAGAACTTGCTGAAGGAATGGAAGGAGTCCTTCTGTATCATGGCCTTGGTTATTAAAGAGCAAAACGAATCCCCACCTCCAGTCAAAATTCCTAAAAGTATTGATTTGTTGTTGCAGCAATTTTCTGATATAGCTCCACCGAAACTGCCATCCGGACTTCCACCTATGAGGGCAATTCAACATCAGATTGAATTTTTACTGGGCTCGTCATTACCGAACCTACCTCATTACAAAATGAGTCCCAACGAACATAAGGTTCTGCAACAAATCGTGGCTGAAATGTTGGAGAAACAGTTGATTCAACCGAGTTTAAGTCCTTGTGCCGTACCAGCTTTGTTAGTACCAAAAAAAGACGGCAGCTGGAGGATGTGTATGGACAGTCGATCAATAAACAAGATCACTATTAAATTCAGGTTTCCGATGCCGAGGATGGAGGATATGCTAGACAAGCTATCAGGAGCACATGTGTTTTCTAAGCTGGATTTGCGAAGCGGATACCATCAGATCCGAGTCCATCTGGGTGATGAATGGAAGACTGCATTCAAAACGCGCCAAGGCTTATACGAATGGAAAGTGATGCCATTTGGGTTGTGCAATGCGTCGACCACATTCATGCGCTTGATGAATGAAATACTAAAGCCTGCCCTGAATCGTTGTTGTGTGGTATACTTCGACGATATCCTAGTATTTAGTTCTTCATTAGAGGAGCATATTGAACACCTTACAATCATCTTTGAGATTTGAGAAAGAATAAACTCTTTCTGAATTTGCTCAAATGTGAATTTGCAACCTCACGGGTTGCCTTCTTGGGTTTTATTATATATTCGGAAGGCATCATGGTGGACCCGAAGAATGTGGCGGCTATTGTGGACTGTCCAACACCCCGAACTTTGTTTGAGATTCGCAATTTCCATGGTCTGGCTAATTTCTACCGCAAATTTATTAAGGGGTTCAGTATGATTATGGCACAAATTACAGATGTCTTAAAACAAACCCAATTCTCTTGGTCAGATGAACAACAGAGTAGTTTTGAAGCTATTTGTCCACCGCTCCTGTATTATCATTACCGAATTTTGAGAAGCCATTTACGGTTGACACTGATGCTTCCACAATAGGAATTGGTGCAGTCCTCTCGCAAGACAACAAGCCCGTGGAGTTCTTTAGTGAGAAGTTGAGTCCGTCAAGACAACGTT